GCAGTGTAGGCCCACAAGGTTTTTTCAAGTACAATCAGGTGGGGTTTAAAAAAGAAATTTAATTTGTCTAACTTTTCTGTCCTGAAGTTTGAAGAAATTATCTCTAACACTTAATATGGCATTTGTGTAAATCTATGCATCTACATGCAAAGACTCCTGATGTTTGAAACTATCCAGCCATACACCACAACTGCTTACACAGTACATGTACATGTAGTTACCAAAAATGTCAAACGTGCTGCATGACACTGTGATCGTAGCTATACAAGCAATCCATGGCATATTGCCAGTTTGGAGGAACATTTATATGACACCTTACAACTTTGTTGACTTGAATGGGAACAAGCAAATTGGATAGAAACTGTTTCATGTGAATAGTTTTTAGCACTAGTGCAGTTTATATTGCAGGATTGCCTTTTCAGAGGTTTGACTAGTTTTACCAAGTATGAGTATATACATATATATTGTAAAGTGAAACTACGTACATGTACAGTTCTGCATTCATGGGTATGTACCAATATAATTTTTGGGGGGACAATTTCTTCATTGCTTTGATGTTCTGCATTGACTGGATTCAGCATAGGTAAACAATTGTATCAAGGAATTTTCACACACATGTACATGCATCAAGTGGAAAATAACTATGAAATATATAGATGGAACAGGGGTCGATCAATTAGATAAATAAATCAAGTACATTTAACCAAATGAGAGGCGTTCTGGCAACAGGAGATAGAACTGTGCAGGGGTCAAATGAGGATTTGCAGGTATGAGAAAAGAGATCAATTCTCCTTACAATACTGCTCGTTGCACTTCGTTGATCCGACACTCCGTTGCCAAGTAGGGCTGCTTCAAGTTCATTTATTGACATGTCAAAAAAGTAAAATACTGAGAAAAAGGTCTTTAAAGTTTCGAGATTTGTAGGGAAAACCAAAGATGCCAAATGTACCAGGTAGTCCTTAACATATGTGTAGATTATGAAAGTTATAAGAAAATAAATGCAAATCTGAAAGATCACATACATGTAAATCTCTAAATCTGAAAAATCAAAAACAAACTCAACAGCCCCATTTGGTTGTTTGCATTGACATGTATCTCCAGTATGACCTGACCTGTGCCCCGTTCCATCTCATTTTGCAAGAACCCCTCACAAATATATTAATTTTAGAATGTATCTTTTCAATGTATAGTAAAGATCATGTAGTCGGTGAAGAGAAGTATAGATGTAGTATTGTATCTTGTACTCAACTGAGCATGCTATTGATGTAGTATAAAGGAAATGAACATTTTGTTGGTGTTTTTCTTTGTTAAAGGGAATATACATCATTTGCTTTTGCTGTAATTTTCAGAAATGGATGGAATTGGGGGGTTGGAAATATATAGCAAATATAGTTACACTGACTTTTTGAGGTTTTGGGTTCGAAAATGCTATAAAAACCAAGAAAAACAATCATTTTCCTGTAGTCTGGTCCCCTGACTCCATTTAAGAAGAAACAAAGCAGTTTACAAATATTGGGGAATTGTAAGGTCAGGGAACCAGTCTAGCTGGCTTGTACCCGTTCATAGGTGTGTAATCGATTGCAAACAAGTGCGATGGTCAACTGGGGCCAGTATTTGAAAAAAGCCAGTTTTTTCCAACGCTGATCGGCCGATCAGCGTTGGAAATTGATACAAAATACCACTTTTCTTGAAAATGACAGTATACCAGGTGCCATGATTTTACAGGATGCTTTACACTGTCATTCACTAACAGTCCAGCAAGGTATTTCAAAATGATTTGGTAATTTTATTTTTTGATGTTTGCAAATGTTGTATTTTCCCTTTAACAGATAGAAATACACTATATCAAAAGGTTGGTTCTCAACCTAGGTAGTTATATAAACCTTTGACTTTACTTCTCATGCCACATAACATTTTTCTTTTGGATAGAAATGACAGTTGCATGCTGCAGTGTATGTGTACATAAACAGAAGATAAATCTGGCTGAGAAATGTTTATATTTCTAAGTATAATATTCTCAAGTTTTATTAATTAAAATGTAAGATTTATTTCATTATTAACGGTTGATTTGTGTATAATTCGGTATAATGAAATCGATATGAGCATCAATATGCATGTTTAAAACAATTTATATCAAGATTAATAAATACCAAAATGAACTAAATGGGGATGAAGATGATAAATATGTGCAAAGTACAGCAATTATTTCATTATAAAAGTGTATATCAGTCTAAGATTTTAATAAGTCTTTGTTGCTGGAAACATGTTTGCATTGCGCTTGTTATAAGATCAGTTTCAACATTTTTAATGATTTGTAATAATAATCTTATTACTGAAACCTTTTATATTACTATAAATGTATTTGCAAAAGTAACTATTTTTGTAAAAAAGGCCTTTTTATAATTTGTGACTTTTTTCGAACTCATTGGGATTTCTGATAATTGTATATATTTCTGATGTTGGATTTATACATCTTTCTACAGGCCAATTTAAAAGACAGCTTTGTGTTTGTATAAGGACTCACAAGGCATTTAGAAATTAGTTACCAATATCACTAGTAATCAAAGCTCTTTTCACAAATATCCCTCCAATGTTTTGATTCTCAACATTAAAATGCTTTAAAGCCAGAGTCTATCATTTGCAGCTACCCAAAAAGTAACTGGCTAATTATTGTTGAAAAACATACTTGGATGAAAGATAGTAAGGGGACTAAACTCCCTGTGAAATTATTCTTTCTGGCAAGCTGTCATTTAGCAGAAATCAACAAAAGAAGGCCTTTCCAACGGTGCTTCTTAATTGCAAATGATGGACTACATCGATCAAAGAAATTCAAAAAAATTGATGCAGTTTCCTATTGCCTGTAATTTGAGTGATAATGATGATTTCTATTCAAGTTATATTTGATATGTGAGCCCATAATCTTATTTGATTTTTGACTTGCATCCATTTTTTTTATGACTATTATAATCTTGCCTTGAATGTATTAAAGGAAAGACATCTGTAATTACTGTGTGTACATGTACTTCTTTGACTTCTTGTACCAAACAATATCCTTATACAGTTTAGGGGGTTAATTTAGTTATTATTAGTATATTTTTAATCGCACGTAACCGTTTCAAGAAGCCTTCATAACAGTCAAGTAGTTGGTCAACTTTTCAGTCATTCATGGAAATACATGTGTATAACTACTACTTAAAAAAAACCCCAAGTTCCAAGTGGTACAACCTACAGCGGCCGGGTAACGTGAAGACCGCTATACGACACCGTCTGTGCACCAGAGAGTACAGAAAACGAAAAGGAATGGGGCGTGATCTAATATGCAAAAATATGCAAATTCAACGCATGCGCAACAGTGTTTGCAAAAACCAGGCTTTGAATGCAAAGCTGTAATACTTAAAGACATGTATCTGAAAGACAAGGCGGGCTTGCATTTTTGTAACCCTATTGGTTGTAGGAGCCCGTTGTGTGTGTGTACTACCTGAGCAGGACCTGGTTCACCTAAAAAAAAATGCATGTCACTGGATTGTTTATACATTTAGGCTCCACTATTTTTCCTCCCGTTACATCCGACGTGTACAATTTTGTGACTTCTGGACGCATCCCTTAATGCCTTTTACCCTCTTAGAGTGATTGAAAGCAAACTACCTATCCAACAAATGAGAACAGTTTGAACTCATTTTGAATGATAATTGTGTGACAAATTCGCGGTTAAGAGGCAACAGGGACAGAAAAAATGTCGCACTTTGGACCCAAACTTTATAGTATGCCCCAATGCTGTTTGCTGGTACGACACTATTGTAGCCACTTTTCAAACAGATCACATTTAATATGAAACATAAGGTTCGGCGATTCTGATTTTCTATTTGTCAATTTGGGACAAAAGACAGCAGCAGTGGACCCGATGTAGGTATTTGGAATGACTAGGCCATCATGAGTAACCAAACAAGAATTGTAACCTCAAAAAATTGAAACTATATTTATAAAACAGAATATGACCACAACCGTATTTGATTCACATTTTAAATCCTTTCTTTGTACATGTATTTTTCCTTGTGTTGCCAAATGATGAAGGATACAAACAAATATCTGTATTGACAGTAGAGAGACAATATCAACTGAAAAAAGGAACACAGAATTCAGTCAAGAGGGTCATCTTTATTTGCAAAACTACAAAATTCCAACTGAAAAACTGATTTGCAAAAAAGGACTTGCAAAATAAAATAGTTTTTTTTCCCGATGGGTTGTTGATCAAATGATTGATATAACGGATTCCAGCTTAAACACAGTGGATAAAGAAATTCTCCAGTATGTTACATATGAAACACACAGTAGTTAAGGTTTATTCTGATGACTGCAACTGTGTATATGTAATCTTGTTTTAGCAATTCAAATGAAATTAGTCCACTCACATGCTGTATAAAATTGTAAAATTACTTGGGAAGTTGATGCATGGCTGTTTGTTGGAACGTGCTCTGTGGCACTGGAGAGGCGTACATGTTGTCGTCTATGTGTGCAATAGATTAGTTTATAACACCTCACCCACAGATTCTGTGTCTTGATTGGCCAAGAGCGAGTCACATGTACTCGCTATTTTTGCTATATGTGTGTGCACGGCCAAAAGTACTATACCCGTAGCAACCAAAGAACTACCATTAGCAACCAAAGTACTATATCCACGGCGCGGTATTTGTGTGCAAATGCATGCTGGGTTGCGCGTTGCGCATTTTGTTCCAAAGAGAGCGCCACAGAGTTGGGTTCAAACATTTCGTGAAGGGTAGTTTGGAAGAGAGAAATACATTTTCCACCAATTTTGTACTGAAATTGAAATTTATTTCAACTGTATTCAGATTTAAATAATTTGAAATATTAAAACCAAGCAGAATCTGTGGGGGAGGTGTTATAAAACAAATATTGACTGCTTTATCTCGTGGTGTAGTAAAACTAGCCTCCCTCAGTGATCCATGGAGCATTCTATTTTCCCTCGGCTTCGCCTCGGGAAAATAGAATGTCCATGGATCACCTCGGGAGGCTAGTTTTACTACAATATTTGTATATTATTTCCATGATTTATCTTATGACATTTTGATGAAAATAAGATGATGCTTGATGCTAAATTATGCTTGAATCCTGCTCTTAGCCCGATAAGCAGAGTACCATAGCAGGAGTGCCAAGCCAGATGCTATCATCTCGGTGCCTACAACTGGTCCATGAGACACACCCTGTTGACAACACAAGATAGAAAATTACAGGAGAAAGTAATGATCAATTCTGTTGCATGGTGCAGTCACATTTCTTCATCTTCAACCTGTGTGCTTTGGTTATTAGGCTTAAAGAAGTACTGCCCGTTCTCTTCAACAAATACAATTCTTTTCCTGAACAAATTTCAAAAGGTTAGTGCTTTTTTAATAACCACCAACAAACCCGGCCTTTTCAGTTTTGGTATCTGCAAATCTTTGAACAATCAGATCCCCCCTGTGACTAGACTAGTCCTGGTCCCCAAATTATTGATTCTAAAAGGGGGCGGGGACCAGTCTACCCTGCAAGAACTGAATTTTTGTTTGGCCACAAATTATTTGAACTATTTATTATATAACTAAACATCTATAGGCAGATTTTTTTTCTGTAGATGTCTCATTCAATGTAAACAATATTTCTATCAAAATAGCAATTTACAAAACTAAATCCATTTTTGGGGTGAAACTCAAAAACAGGTTGCTTCCATGATAAGCAAGTCATGGTTCAGGTCCTGCTTGTGCACAGTTTTTTGTATTCTATTATTGGGGTATTCTCAAACAAGTCCATTCCATACAAATACAATTTTGGTAGGAAAAATAATTCATGTTAACAAAATGCTTCATGAAGCAAAGTTTACCCTGTGAGCCACGTTAATTGTGAAGGCTGGCTTGACTTTGGCAGAATCATCCCCTGCTCTCATGGCCTGCAAATGCAAAACAATATGCACAAACAGAAGGTCATTCTTTGCCAAATCCACTCAATTCCATATAATTTGAGGTGACCCACTCAGGTTGAATGAAAGTTTCTTTACAATTTCATACTTCTATGCACCATAAGCATTTCAGCCCCTAGCTCAAAGCTAGTTTTGAACTTTGGCCCAAACTCAAAATTGTCAGGAAACCATACTTTAGGATACGGAACACAGATAAGTGACATCCAGTTTGTAATATCTGCTGTAGTACACCAGCATGTTCACTTCTCAAGACAGTTGTCTCCCAACACCTTATCTGCTTAAGTATTTTTTGGCCTATTTTTGGTCCTTTGGTAACAATAGTTCAACCTCGACTAGGCTCTATAGAAATGTATTGTACACATACATGAACAGAAATACAGAGTGGCAAAAAAAAAGGAACCCCATACTTCCACTACTCTGAGGCTCAAACCACATATACCAATGCACAGAGAATCTTTTTAAGAGAAATATGAAACCAAGATCGTCCGATTCGGTTCAGTAGTTTTTGTTCTAGAGCTTATTTTGTGAAGCAAGGTGGGGGTCAGTTTTGTCCCGATGAATTACAAAATCGCGCCCGGGAATTTGACTTACATTTTAAATGATAGAGGGATTATTATGTAATAATACCACATGATAGAAGTGTGCTTCACAAAATAGGCTCTGCAGCAAAAACTACTGGACCGTATCGGGATATTTAGGACTTCTAAAAGGATTCTCCATCAATTGGTACAGGTGCTTTGAGTCGCAAGGTAGTGGAAGTATTTTTTTTTTTGGACCACCCTGAATAATTGCAAATCTTTATCTCCAAGGAAGGATCTTTGTTGAGACATGTTCAGGACTTGAAAACAGAAAATAAAAGGGATTGTTGAATCATTTAAAAAAAAATTAACTGTGCGTGCAGACAACTTTCTTTGAGTTGATCACTATACAGGGCGAGAAAAAAAATGTCCCTTTGGATAAGTCCTTGTCTCCCACAACAACGGGAAAGGTTACCGGTTTCTTCCCTTCAGCCAACATTTGGTCTGGGTATTGACCACGGTCAGTAGAAGTTTCACCGATATTCAGCCATTCTTGAAAACGATACAGGCCTTTCTTTTTAACGACCCAAAACACTACAACACAATGTTTCCGGATATTTTTAAGGGAATGTCTATTTAATGGCTAGCACACTGCTAGACGGATCAATTCAAAGTAGCCATGGCAAGGCCACAGTTTACTGCTGCCCAAAGGGACTTTATCATGGTCAGTACATTTGATGAAACCAGCAGCGTACAAGACAAGTTACGCCCGTTTGGAGAACACTTTCCAGACGTATGGCAGCCTAACACTCGGAACATGTGAAGAAATATTGTAAAATACAGACAAAAAGGCAACAGCAAGAACCTGAATAAGGGGCGCCAAGATCGCCAGATCTTACCCCTCTTTAATGTTTTCTTTGGGGGTACCTTAAGGACCAGGCGTACGGCATTCTGCCAAACACTCTGCAGGGACTTCGCCAACGAAGCCCTCAGAAGAACATGGATGGTCCGCAGAGCTATTGCAGACAAGAGGACATGGGCACAACTATGCATTGATCTGAACGACAGGCAGGTGGAAGGTCGAGCAGCGGGACAGTTAACTGTGAACCTGATCTGTCATTCACTTTCAAGTTCAATAAATGTAATTCCATTCAATTGATATCACATTCTGTTATTCCTTTTATTTGTTTCATTGACCAGAGGCCCATTGTCCCCATTGTGTTCACAGCAAGAGGCCTATCCTGAACATTATGTTGGTAGTGTGTTGGGGGTAGTCACAAAGAAAGGCCTGTAACCTTTCTATGCATGGCTGAATAACAGTGAAACTTCTACGGACTGTGGTCAATACCCAGATGGAATGTTGGCTGTGGGAGACAAGGCCTTATCCTGTGAGTCACCCTGTATCTGGGTATACTCACGCAATCAGCTTGACATTAGGCATCATAAGTGTGCCATTTTATTTTGTTTTAAGATCAATTTTACAGTAACACCATGTAACAAATCTCTTTTGTGAGTTTGTGAGGTTCTGAGAAGATCCCGGGGAAACTCAATATTTCTGACAGTATGCCTTGCCTATGGTCAGAAGATGACGTCTCCTCACAAACTCACAAAAGAGAGATGTTACAAGGTGCAATCCTAAACCTTATCTCATTGCTGTCTTCACCGTACAAACCTTCAAATCATATTTTGGTTTCAATAAAACAAATCAAATGTATGGTATACTGTAAATGTACATGTGTATCACACAAGTTGATCATACACAACAAATGCAAAATATTTCCTCCCCTTCTACATTCTTTGTAAATTTAATCTTACTTATTTTGAATGAGAAAAGTGTTAATTAATCTCTTCTGTAACTTTTGGATCTACCTCTGTCCCTTTCACTTTTGAACATCATCAACCAGCAAGGATAAGAAGTGCAATGTCTAATAGAATGACCCCTCCAGTTATAACTGCAGAAACTCTCATGTCTAACAGCATGCAATGCATGGCTGACAAGCTCCACAACCAAGCCCATTGCACTGCTTGAGAACTCATGCAGCTATCTGGAATCTCTTTCAACAAAATGTTTTGTAAATAAACCTACCTTCCTCAGAGCACTAAATCCTTCCTCATCATAGAATCTCACTTCATAGTTACCAGATGGTGCATTCTTATGTTCCTCAGTCCAGCTTACCTGTGAATGAGAATTCTTGTTGTGAGTTCTAGAGTTTCTCTACAGTGATTAATTGTAGATAAATTGGTTTGGAATACAAGATGGCATGCAGTAAGCATCAAATAATTATATAACTTAAGCCACTTATGCTTCATCAGACACAACAGAGTTTTGGCAGGCACACGAGTTCTGTGTTAAATAAAAAAACAAATTAGAAAAAATGAATTAGAATCAAATGTGACATTTGTCATGGAATGCCACAGGAGCCACTTTGACAATCGTATAAACATGTAAACACACCCATTCTGGAATTTGTATTCCTGTGGAGACATTTCTTTGTTCTCGTGTAGTAAAGTTTTCGAATTTGAAATTGAAGTTTCAAAATGCTCTTATTTTAACCAGAATTAATTTCCTGGGCTGAAATTTGGACTAAATATCCCTTTTTTAAAACTCTTCCATTTGCGACAGATCAACCTACCTTGGAAATTCCTAGTTTTTGAGTAAAATCCATATATCTATTTCGTGAAATTCTTGTGGAGACGTATTCATCTATAGAAATGTTCTTCTGGAGACGTATACAATCTTTTGTTCCCTATTGTGTGCATGTCTCCGTAAGGTAGTAAATTCCAGAACAAAATGAACAATGCAATCAATAAGGATGCGCCTTTTGTTTATGCATGTACAGGTACATGTATATAAACATGCCCGATATCAAAGGCGTCAGTGGTTAAACTTTTAAATGGTGCTTAATAGTTACAAAATCCTGAACAAATAGCAATCAACTCTGTACATGTATTATGATCTGAAGCAGCATTCCATACATGAGTTCACAAAAGTTCAACCATCCCAAGATATCTTTATCTGACAGCTTTGATAAAACACAGCATACAATACTAAGGCTGTCTCTTGACATTTGTACAATCATAAGTAGATAGTACTTTGGTGACATGTATTGTACAACTTTTATCCATGTATATGTCACTTTAACTCAAAAATCAAGAGCACATATGCATTTCAGTGAAATTGAAGAAATGTCAAGGCATCTATTTTTACAAACCCTGGTAATTCTGGCAATGAGGTGGATTATTTCTACAACCGTTTTTTTAAATAGTTTATTATCCTTTGGCTACAGATTGTTCTAATCTGAATGCATGTCTTCTGTTTCACTCAGCATATATACTTGTTTGAGCAGTCCTGTTTTCATAGCTGTCATAACCAACAAGAATAGGGAACAGTCAAGCTGGACAAATCAAGGGCACTTGAGTATTACTAAAAGGCTGAAGCATGAACTTCTCATGTCACATGCCCAGTTTTACAGTTCAACAATAAGTAACAGAAATGTTTCTTGGTGTCCGTACTGTCAGTTTCAATTTTTTCCCATCTCAAACTGTTTTGCGCCTAAAACTTCAAGGCATCTGGTCAATTTGAACCCTTAAATGTCAGAAATGTCTGATGATATATTATATGTAAATGGACCTATTTCAATTCCATACCTGATACTGATTGTCTCCAAAACGAGAAACAGGGAGCTGCTTGCCAGAGATCTCCGCATTCAAAAACAAGTTCTGCATTCAAACGCAAGATAATATTTCAAAGAAAATACATCATTGCCATTTGTTCAATTAAAGCTACAGGAATGTTAGCGTTCAAATCTTGGGTCGTACCATTTCCAATCACAAACATTCCTGGGTGGTATATGTTTGTGATTGTGCACTTCATCCACATAGTCTAAGTCACTGTCCTGTACACCATACCCTCCAGTGTAGATATTTCATAATAAATGTGTTTTCAAATGAATCACAAAGGTTCACCTATTATTTTATAGCGCTTTTAACTAGGATCAAGTGCTTTGCATGACTATACCTGCTCATGCAACCAATCAAATATTGCTCAGACTATCTCAAGTTGTACTCACAACTCTAAGCATCCATTTTTCAGGTTGCCAATTCAAACACATTAACCATCTCTGCCCTCAAGGGTACCCATTTTTATCTTATGTGGGTAGAACCATCATTTATCTATTTATTTATTAGCTGTTTCGGTGTACACACCGAAACAGCTCTTGTTTTCGTTAAGATTTTTTTTTTTCTTTTTTTTTTTTTTTTTTTTTTCTCCTTTTTCAGACTTTTTCCCATAGGTTTAACACACGTTTCTTCTGGCAGTCCACTTTGCCACTTTTATAAATCCGATTGATTTCAGACTTGGTACATACTGAGACCACCACCCACAGATGGTCCTAGAAGAAATTTGTGATCGTGACGTCATCAGGTGTCAGGTTACGTCACATTAAAGATGCATTTTTCCCCATATGTTTTGTACACGTTTTAAAACACTCCAGTTTGGTATCTTCGTAAATCCGATCGACTTTAAACTTAATTTATAATTAGACTACCACCCACAAATGGTCCTAGAAGAAATTCGTGATCGTGACGTCATCAAGAGTCAGGTTACGTCACATTAAAGATGCTTATTTCCCCATAGGGTTTGTACATGTTTTAAAACGCTCCATTTCGGCACTTTCGTAAATCTGATCGACGTTACACTTGGTACACACTTAGACCATCACCCACAAATGGTCCTTGAAGAAATTCGTGATCATGACGTCATCAGGTGTCACGTTACATCACATTAAAGATGCACATTTTCCCCATAGGTTTTGTACACGTTTTAAAACGCTTCACTTTTTGGCACTTTCGTAAATTTGATCGACTTTATACTTGGTACACACTTAGACAACCACCCACAGATGGTCCTAGAAGAAATTCGTGATCGTGACGTCATCAGGTGTTTGGTTACATCACATTAAAGATGCATTTTTCCCCATAGGGTTTGTACACGTTTTAAAACACTCTACTTTGGCACTTTTGTAAATTATGCGATTGACGTTAGACCTGGTACACACTTAGACTACCACCCACAGATAATCCTGGAAGAAATTCGTGATCGTACCAATGCCGAGATGGGTTATAGATGAAAATTCATGTGATGTCATCATCAAATGTCACGTGACGTCCCTTAAAGGGGCATTTTGTTCTTTATAGGCCTATATTTACAGACCTATACGTTCGATTTGGTTATAACTTGACATGTACGTATAATGTGCTGTTATAGATGACAGTTTTAGTAACATCACTGATTGTTCGTCACGTGCACAAATTATTTCGAATATCCGAAACAGCTTGTGTTTGTCCACAAACACATTTCTAGTTTATTTATTTATTTCATCCAACATCTAACAGCGCAAGTGCCAGAGATGGATGGATACATTAATTGATTTACAATACAAATTTAATAATTAGCAAATTTGCAAAAGAATTAAAACATCAAAACATTAAGGAAGTTTTTATGTGCACATGTACATGTACTAAGCTTGACTGTACCTTGGCATTGTTTTTGCAGACAAGTGTGAACTCAATGAGAAATACAGACTCTGTAGAACTAGTTGCATCAGTTGTTGTGTACACCTTATGGTCCGTAGAAGCTCCAATGCATGTATCACCTGCATGTACATACAGAGAATTTCATCATCAATTTAAGAAGTTGAAATGCATTCACAAACAAATTAAACTAGAAAGCACTCAGAGAGTGCACTTGACCTCCGCCAAGATAAACTATTCCCCGATATATTGTAAGTACAATGTACATCTAACACGAGGAGCTTTTAAAATGCTCAATCATGTTCTGAAATCAAAGGGCAGAAACACGCTGTATTAATATGTACACTGTATTGTTTGAACACTTTTGAATACAGAATTGAGCCATTTCCATAGGGTCACTGTTTAAATAAAGGGTGTAAAACAGGGGTTTGCAGCTAGCTAGCCGCGAGGTCTGTACTGAACTCTAGAAGGACCAGTGTCCAAGTAAATAATGACTTTAACATGCATGTTCAAGTCACACTATGTTTTTTTTACTCACCCTGTAGAAACACACTAACCCTCTTTAACCCTAACCCACCTAACTCCTCCAAAATCCTCCTGGCGGTTTTGGAGGATTCTAGAGGATTGAGGATGAATGGTGATTGAATCAAATGAGGATTCTGGAGGATTGAGGATGAATGGTGATTGAAGCACATGAGGATTTTGGAGGATTGAGGATGAATGGTGAATGAAGCACAAGAGGATTTTGGAGGATTGAGGATGAATGCATTTTGAGGCAGGACTGTCTGATGATTTTGAAGGATTTGGCGTTGGTTATCCTTCATTTAAACACGAGTGCAAAGTTTTGGGATGAGGAGGATTTTGGAGGATTGAGGATGAATGCATTTTGAGGCAGGACTGTCTGACAATTTTGAAAAATTTAGGCGGAGTTGCAAAATTTTGGAAAATTTTGGAGGATTTTGGAGGATTGAGGATGGTTGTAAGCAACAAGGGCCTAGGGGGTTAGGGTTAAAGCAATAGAAAGTTAGTCACCCCCTTTTCAGACGTCTATATTTCGTGTAATTTCCAGGTTCGTTTGCACATGTTTGCGTATCTAAATTCCAGAACAAAATTACACGAAAGTAGATGTGTGAAAAAGGGAGGGACTAATTTTCTATTGCTATAAAGAGGGTCAGTATGCTTCTAAAGCATAAATAAACTACAAATCAAGTCTAAATGTGAAAATCCAAATTTGACAAAGTTCTACATTTTCGGGTACATGTTCCAAGTGTGGCCTTTATGAAAGGTAGTCCAGTATTAAAGTTGGCCACATTTATGGGGCTAGGTAAGTCTATGTAGCTGCAGGGACCTAGCTAACTGCAGCTGATCTGATGAGTGCCAAAGAATTTGTACATGCGGTAATGAAACTTAACATTGGACGACTGAGGGCATTAAATTGGTTTCGGCGGTTCTGAAAATCATTGTAACGCGCCCACCACTACCTGCTCTCTCACCCTGGTATTGGATCAAGATTTTTGAATAGTCTGGTGCCTGCATGTGCGTTACATCAGCGTTTGTTTTTGTATGCGGTGTCTTTATATAGAGATCAGTGGGCCAAGTGCATGACGTGTTAAATTCTGCAGATAATTTGGAATCGCACTTACGATCCGGACTAGACCCGTGAACGTGGCTTGTAAACTACGCCATGCTCTTGTACATGTTCGAACCAAGCGAAATCGTCCTTCCGTGACAAAGACTGAACATTGCCTAACCGTGTGATAAGTATTCACATATCAAGCTTTCTTGAACATGTTGAAATCTGCTTTTACGCCAAATCTGGCATTCAAACGAAATTCGAGGTAAAATCTGGCAAGATCTCGACGTCGAAGTAGAAGTCCTGCAACCTCCTCCTGATGCATGTGATTTACTACCTGATAAATGCTGCGGATAATTTGGTATCGCACTGACGCTCCGGGCATTCCTTTTGTCCGGATCGTAAGTGCAATTCCAAATTACAATGTATTAGCTGCGTTTATCACGTGGTCTCGTTATTGGCCAATCAGACGCCGCCTATCATATGCGCCACATGAAGCAGACGGGTAGTTCGGAGGGCTCCGATAATTTTGCACGCAAATGACCCTGGGTACTCGTCCAGGGTCATTTGTCAGGGTCACTTGTCAGGTTAAAATCTAATTTCTACATGTTCGTATGGGTCTTCATTGATGGCAAATTTTGTCGAAATGACACATCCTGAACACGCGGGAAGGCAAATTTAGATTTCTAGGTGAGTACTCAACATCCATATGAAATTATGTATGGCGGATCGATTTTGCTAGGTTCCAAAATACACAACAGCATGGCGTTGTATACAACGCCACGTTCATGGGTCTAGATCCGAACATGAGGAGTGCCCAGAGCGTCAGTGCGATACCAAATTATCCGCAGCATTTATCACGTGGCCTCGTGATTGGCCCGTCTGATGCCGCCCGCGCATCATGATGTACTGTTTCGCGATGCAAAGCATACAATCTCCCCTCCATCCCAAATGGTCGAGCCGAATGTAGAGTTGACCTGCTGAGGTCACGCGAAGATCAGCGCACGCGCAACATACGTAAACACACACATGAACATAACCTTGCATTCGTCAGATCGGAGACGCGAGGCTGGTGATTAAAAACTCAGATTTTCCACCCAAAAAAATTGTCCCATGATCCAAATGTCAATTGCGTGAAAATATTACAGAGTTATGGATCAACAAGCTCAACTTTTTGGGTGGATTTGTGTTTCAAAAAGTGGAATTTCAGACAAAGGTATTTCGTCTATCAAAGGGCATGTCCAAAAGCCATAGAGTGCTGACCCCCGAATCTGAAGGCTCTCAGAAGGCTGACGGAGAGAAGCCTTCTGATTTCAGAAGTAGACTCCCTCCGTAACGTAGGGAGGAAAGCCGAATGTCAGACAAGTCCACCGTTGAGACAACTCGACTCGGGACAAGTCGACCGTTGAGACAACTCGACCGTTGAGACAACTCGACCGTTGAGACAACTCGACTCGGGACAAGTCGACCGTTGAGACAACTCGACTTAATAATGGAAATGTACATGTATACACGTGGAGCGGAAAAAGTTGCATAAATCTGTGGCAGGACCGGGCACGGCGCGGGCACACTCGATGCACAGAGGGCACTCCGATCCGGTGGCCGTCGCGTCGGGCAGGCGTGCCATGCCCGCGAGGACCGGGCCCGGCCTGCGCGGCACGCGGGCACACGTTGATGCACAATGAGCGCTCCGGTGGCCGTCGCGTCGGGCCGCCCGGACCCATCAGCGCGGCGACGCAGCATACAGTCTACCGACGGGGTAGCCCCACTAGTGTAGCCGCGGTATGCTGCGCTGAACCTCTGGCCACACACCGTGGTACTGCGCACTACTGAGGGCGTTTTCATAAAAATTATGGTCCGTTTCTTACATATGGTTGTATTCTATGATGTCCCATCTATCACTTCTGGGATGCTTAGGTGTAATGATGTTCAATTTTCCGAGATATTCTTGAATCTTTCTGGAGCCCATATGCACTCGTGAAACGTCTGGTGATGGCAGCCATTTTGAATGTGACAAGAGATGACCTCAAGCTGTGACGTCGCGTTTATGCAAATTGCTTGTCGAGCGAGGGCGCGAGTTGCAAATGCGACGGCTGTTTCCTGTACCATGCATTTATCGTCTGGGGGCCACATGCACTGATCTCTATTCAGGATCCACGGCACAGGAAACAGCCGTCGCATTTGCAACTCGCGCCCTCGCTCGACAAGCAATTTGCATAAACGAGATGTCACAGCTCTTGAGGTCATCTCTTGTCACATTCAAAATGGCTGCCATCACCAGACGTTTCACGAGTGCATATGGGCTCCAGAAAGATTCAAGAATATCTAGGAAAATTGAACATCATTACACCTAAGCATCCCAGAAGTGGGGGTCAGACAAGTCGACTGTTGAGAGAACTCGACTCGGGACGAGTCGACCGTTGAGACAACTCGACTGTTGAGACAACTCGACCGTTTGTGCGATGAATGGAAAGACAACTCGACCGTTGAGACAAGTCGCCTTGCATGTTTTTGGGCTTAGTTTTGGGGATAGTACCGGGACTTTTGACGGCGGCCAAGTTTTTTTGTTGCATATAACAGAGCCGATATAGCGCAGCGTGATTGTCCGTTTTTTCCGAGCCTGTGCGCGCATCCCCGGTCAACGTGGCCGTACCGTGCCCGGTGGCATCGTTTTTGTGCCGGGCCTGTGCGCCCACTTGCATGTCAACTTGTCCGTACTGTGCACGGTGGCATTTTTTTTGTGCCGGGCCTGTGTGCCCACTTGCATGTCAACTTGTCCGTACCGTGCACGGTGACATCGTTTTTGCCGGGCCTGTGCGCCCACTTACCGCGATGGTTGACGTGCCGTATGCTGGGCCCGGTCCTCGCGGCCCGCCCGACGAGCGCGACGGCCACCGGATCGGAGCGCCCTCTGTGCATCGAGTATGCCCGCGCCGCGCCCGGGACCGGTCCTGCCACAGATTTTTGCAACTTTTCCCGCTCCACGTGTATACATTTCCATTAAGTCGAGCTGTCTCAACGGTCGAGTTGTCTCGAGTCGAGTTGTCTCAACGGTCGACTTGTCTCAACGGTCGAGTTGTCTCAACGGTCGACTTGTCCCGAGTCGAGTTGTCTCAACGGTCGACTTGTCTGACATCCCCAGAAGTGATAGATGGGACATCATAGAATACAACCATATGTAAGAAACGGACCGTAATTTTTATGAAAATGCCCTCAGTAGTGCGCGGGGCATCAGGTCAACTCGGACCCATGCCAAGTCGGACCCATGCCAAGTCGGACCCACGCCAACTCGGACCCACGCCAACTCGGACCCACTACCAACTCAGACCCACTACCAACTCGGACCCACTACCAACTCGGACCCAAGACCAACTCGGACCCAAGACCAACTGGGACCCATGACCAACTCGGACCCAACAATGACTTAATCATTAGTTTCAGAGATTATATTTATAGATCATCTTAATGTTACAGTGCTTATAGTGAAGATATTCTGTAATTATATTGGTCAGAATGGGGCTTTTAGTTTTGTTGTTTGATCATACTACGTTGACTTTGCTCTCTATAACTCATTCACATGAAGAAATGGATATCTATGTGCAATGTTTTCCTTTTTCATCTGCTTTTTCTGTGTGTGCCAAATAATATAAACCAAATTAAATCACACCCAATGAAGGATTTCAATATGTCACAGAAAGGTAATCATCAAGTTAAGGAAATTAGGAATGCAGTTCGAAAATGTCAAACACAATGCATGCAGTAACATTGATCTGTCAATCATTCTCCCCCATTCATAGCGCTGCGCACCAGCGCCAAGAGATTAATCTTCGCGGATGAACCAACGCGCGGTCCCCGGTTCACACAAACAGCGGCAAGTTCATTCAGCAGTATCGGCACCCCTTGATCAGTTCAGTGAAGCGGGTAAAAAGGTTACCACTGCGAAGATCGAAGTGAATGAAAGATAATTCCTAATTAGAAAGACTAATCTGACTCAGGAACATTCAACCAATTCACATGCTGGCCTTGAAGTTTGTGGTTTTTTATACGACATTGTTTAATCTTTCATACTTTTTTATAAATATATTATGGAACCCGACATGTATTTCCAAGCTCTATCGATTACCCGAAAAAATTCAGAATTTGACTTTTTATACTTCATTTATTATGGAACCTTCGTTTTCATTGAAGTGTATGCCAAGATGTTTATTTATTATTTTTTTTAATAGAACGCTTTTTAATTTTAATTATTTTTGGGTACTTGGAAATGGCACGTTTATACGTTTATACTCCTGTCATTTAATAATAATATTTTTTTACCCATTTAGGCAGTTAATTTCATTTAATTATATATTTAAATTCACTTACTTTGTTTTCTGGTATAAGCATATTACACATTTTGTTCAGTGAGGAAGTTATTAATTTGAAATAGGCCTTTCATTTCATGTAATTGTTTTTTTTTAATAGTATTTTTTTACGATTCTGTTTAACCTTTTATACTTTTTTGATTATCTTTTTCCCCCATGGAACATCATAGTCGAACATACAGGCAGCTACCTGTAAGGCCTTGAAGGATAATCTTCCCAGAGCTCCAATACTCCTTTTTGTGGGTATTTAATAAGTTGATCTTTTTTTTAGTTCACATGCTGGTTTTTTTTTTACGAATCTGTGTAACTTTTTATATTTTTTTTATTAACCTTTTTTGTTCAATATGGAACCTTCATTTTTCTTGCAGTGTATGCAGTGGTGTTTATGTGGTTTCTTTTTTTAAATACATACATTGTGTACATGTAGAGATTAGAAAAGACTTTGTTTTTATACCTTATTTATTTTATTTAATGGCTTATAATGTTTACTTATATTTATTGAATTAATAATGTCATGTTTGAAAGTGTTTATGTTTCAATGTCATACTTTCCAATTTTATTTTTCTATGAAGATCTGTTCTGAATTTATGTGGTTTGAATTAAAAATGAAATAAATTGCTGTTAAATTGAGCAAGATGGCGTGAACGATGTCAAATATGAAAATGAATAATTAGTTAAACTTTAATTTTAATTACTTTTGGTTAAAGCGCAATATGTTTCAATGGAAACAAATAATAAAAATAAATAATTAATTACACTTGAAAAAGCGCATTTCAAAATAGCATTTCAATGCGCTTTACAACGACAAACTGCTGCAATACAGATATTTCACCTGACAACTACAATGAAAATTTATACTTAACAGCATCACTGTATTAACAGATGATAAGTGGACAAACTTTATGAAATTGTCGAATGATTGAAAACGCTGTCAAATGATTGTAAACGATGGGTCCGAGTTGGTAGTGGGTCCGAGTTGGTAGTGGGTCCGAGTTGGTAGTGGGTCCGAGTTGGTAGTGGGTCCGAGTTGGCATGGGTCCGAGTTGGCATGGGTCCGACTTGGCTTGGGTCCGACTTGGTTTGGGTCCGAGTTGGATCGAAACCGTGCGCGGTACCACGGTGTGTGGCCAGAGGTTCAGCGCAGTATACCGCGGCCACACTAGTGGGGCTAACCCCCCGGAAAGCCAAGCATGCCAAGGGACTGGAGTCCACCTTAGCCCAGGTTGGAGGAAGTCTTCATTGCATTACGACTAACGTCCAGGACGAGAATTCTCTACATAAGACCACCCAAAATTTAGACCAGATTTTTGTTACGTTTTACCTCGTTACAGAAGCTTATTTCATGCCTACATTTTCTATGTGTCCTTACCTATTGGGTCGCTGGGTTCAGGAATTCCATATGTGATGCTGACCAACATTAATCAGGAAAATAAACTCTAAAGCAGCGTTAAACTTGTACGTGTTTGTAGTCTCTTTTCATCAGTTTATTCCCAGAGTCATACGTCATGTACAATGTACGTGCGTACGAAAGCGCGCACACACGCTAGTAGCGCCCTCATTTGTTTAGTTTTGGTTGGAACCGTGACGTCACTCCAGCCAACCGATGTCACGAAAACGCTCAACCAATGAGTGAATGACCAAAGCCGAAACGTGTTTCTGGTAACTGGCGCGAAAACACGCTCGGTCATCATGGTCATTGCCTTCAAGTAAGTGCGCGTGCGTATGAGGGTGGTTACTAAGCAAATCGCGCGTGCGCACTGCATATTCATGCTGCATAGTCTGGCCCCCGGACCAGATGTGATATGAGCGTCGAGAATAATTGTCCGGTCTAGGGATCCAGACTACATGCTGCACAGACGTACATCATGTACGACTAGAATAGACTCGGCGGTGAGAAACTGATGAAAAGAGTCTACAAACACGTACAAGTTTAACGTTGCTTATCGAGTTTATTTTCCAGATTAAGGTCGGTCAGCATCGCATATGGAATTCTGAACCCAGCGGCCCAATAGATAAGGACACATAGAATACTACGACATAGAATACTACGACGGTTTTACTACGAAACCGCCCGGTTTTGAGCACTTCATACCCTGGACTCCCTCCGTTACGTAGCGTAGGGAGGAAAGGGAGTCCACCGGGCTAGAGTCCACCTGGTCCTGGGCTAGCCCCATAAATGTGGCCTATTTACTGGACTGCCTCCAAACATAGGCCACACATCCACATGTACAAAAATCGTGTCGACGGAGCCAAATTTTGATTTTCACATTTAGGCTTAGTTTGTAGGGTTTTTTTGCTTTAGAAGCATACTCACCCTCTTTACAGGCTAATCAGAAAGTGCTGCCTTTTTCAGATGTCTAATTTTTGTGAAATTTCATGTTGAAATTTTGATACGCAAACGTGTAAAAATGAATCTGGAAATTTCACGAAAAATATACATCTGAAAAAGGCAGCACTTTCTGATTAGCCTATAAAGAGGGTGAGTATGCTTCTAAAGCAAAAAAAACCTACAAACTAAGCCTAAATGTGAAAATCAAAATTTGGCTCCGTCGACACGATTTTTGTACATGTGGATGTGTGGCCTATGTTTGGAGGCAGTCCAGTAAATAGGCCACATTTATGGGGCTAGTCCTGGGCTAGGAGCAAAAGGTGTTCTCGCGTGGCCCTGCATTCCTTTTTAAAGCTCCATGGGTGCTCTATCTTTCCGAGAGGAATTTACGTTTCGCTGGTTACAAATTATCCAACACGAAGAACCTACCGAGTGTGAAAACTGGGTATGCAACAAGAAGAATAACCACCAGAGATCTCCAACTGGGGGAAGCCATGTTGAAAGAGGACACGTAGGCAAAGGTCAAACGATGATGGCGCCCTCAGTTGGTTGGACAGAGACTAGACATCGATGCTGAAAACGAAGATGGCTGAGCAAGAAGAACTAGAAACGGGAAAAATTTCTTTTGGCTTTACAAAGAAAAAAAAGTCCAATCTGTTGGAAACAAATGTACGTGAGCAGAGTACACTCGGTGGAAAAGGGGCAGAAACTGATTTCGTTCACGCCTTGGAGGGAAAAGAAGTGAAAAGGTATCCTCGATCCTCCTAAAGTCCTATTTCTGCGCAGACATGGCAGATGCATAGCTGGAGTTACCCAGCCCTGAGTTTTATCATTGGGTTGTCATCTAGGGCTGGAGCGCATTTTTCTCAAAACTTGTAGTATTTGCAAAAAAAATTTGGAAAATGTTCAATTTTGTCCCCGTTACACACTAATTGCAACTGCAACTCACCCCAAACTTGCCTGGAATAACCATTACACAGGTCCTTGAAGTAAAAAACGATCCACGATGAAGATTCAGCCTACAATTGCAGTGAAAACGGGAGGAATAACCGCTAACTTGACAACCTTGCTGGATTGGCCAGGACCGCTATTGGTTTGTGCACAAAAAAAATTGTGTACAATGAATGGCGGTCGATTAACAGGCACAGAGAGCGATCGCTGCGCGCTGTCAACTACTCGGTTTTGCCGGCTGCGCTGGCTGTTGGCGCGTGACGTCACGCGGAAGCGTAACACCCGATGACTGTTTCATGCACTATTGGTTGCGGTTCCAGTACCAAAGCTGTGATGCGAGTGGTAAACCTTATACTAGTGCATGAAACAGTCATCGGGTGTTACGCTTCCGCGTGACGTCACGCGCCAACAGCCAGCGCAGCCGGCAAAACGAGTAGTTGACAGCGATCGCTCCTCTGTGCCTGTTAATCGACCGCCATTCATTGTACACAATTTTTTTTGTGCACAAACCAATAGCGGTCCTGGCCAATCCAGCAAGGTTGTCAAGTTAGCGGTTATTCCTCCTGTTTTCACTGCAATTGTAGGCCGAATCTTCATCGTGGATCGTTTTTTACTTCAAGGACCTGTGTAATGGTTATTCCAGGCAAGTTTGGGGTGAGTTGCAGTTGCAATTAGTGTGTAACGGGGACAAAATTGAACATTTTCCAAATTTTTTTTGCAAATACTACAAGTTTTGAGAAAAATGCGCTCCAGCCCTAGATGACAACCCAATGATAAAACTCAGGGCTGGGTAACTCCAGCTAGCAGATGCAGATAAAGCGCGCCTGGTCATGCTGGTACGTAGCCCCATAAATGTGGCCTATTTTACTGGACTGCCTCCGTAAACATAGGCCACACATCCACATGTACAAAAACGTGTCGATTTTGCCAAATTTTGATTTTCACATTTAGGCTTACTTTGTAGGTTTTTTTTGCTTTAGAAGCATACTCACCTGCTCACCCTCTTTATTATACTATAATTATAAAGAGGGTGAGTATGCTTCTAAAGCAAAAAAAACCTACAAAGTAAGCCTAAATGTGAAAATCAAAATTTTTTATAGGCTAATCAGAAAGTGCTGCCTTTTTCAGATGTATATTTTTCGTGAAATTTCCAGATTCATTTTTACACGTTTGCGTATCAAAATTTCAACATGAAATTTCACAAAAATTAGACATCTGAAAAAGGCAGCACTTTCTGACTAACCTATAAAGAGGGTGAGTATGCTTCTAAAGCAAAAAAATCCTACAAACTAAGCCTAAATGTGAAAATCAAAATTTGGCAAAGCCGACACGATTTTTGAACATGTGGATGTGTGGCCTATGTTTACGGAGGCAGTCCAGTAAATAGGCCACATTTACGGGGCTAGCTGGTACGTAGCCCGACTGCGTCTGGCCGTACTACTATCGCACAGAGCTTGCGATAGTACTGTACAGCCAGACGCAGTCGGGCTAGCTGGTACGGTGCTGGGCTTTGCACGGTCTAGTACTCATGTCGAGCGCAATTTGAGTCCTCCGCGCAGGTTTAAACTTGCACGTGCATTAATTTCCTTGCTACAAATTGCGCACGCAAGTTTGGAGTAATTGCAGAATACCCCGCCACTCGGAAATACACCCCTAAATTCTCTGGCTACGAGGTCGTTGGAATCACTGGAAAAGAAACAATTCAAGTCCATGCCAGCTACGCGGATACTGAGTGGGGATCCATTATTTGAGAACGAATTAAGCAACACAAAAGGAATGGGAGTTGCTGAACACGGAGTGGGAGTCCCCTTGATGCTTGAGAACGAAGCAACACAAAAGGAATGGGAGTTGCTGAAAAAATTCTAAGTTGAAACCAACTACCCTGTTGGCGGCTACGCGGTTACGAAGTGAGAGTGCAATGGAGCATGACGCATAGTACATACAAGTAGCGCTGAGATGTTTATTGAGGTCAACCAACCGTGACCTCGTAGCCGGCTACGAGGTGGATAGATCGAGTGGCGGGGTATTCTGCAATTGTGCCGCAAGTTTAAACTTGTGCGCTACATAGATTTTTCCCATGCATGCCAAAGCCGCCAAACTAATTTTTTTACTGGTAAACTCATGCAGATTATGTAACATTATTTTTAAAAGCAAGCAGATTTTTTTCCAATTAATAGCACCACTGTGCTTCGTGAGACAATGCCTTAATGCCTTTTTTGGGTAATCCTTACTTTTAGGACCCTGTTCCTATATAGGAAGTGAAAGACTCACCAAAACAGTTGACTAAATGACACTCAAAATTGACATTCTGATATTTCTTGACACATCTGAACAATTGGCAATGACACCTTCTTGAATATCAGCAGGTTTAATTTTGTGGAAAGAGGGCAGGGCTTTGATTTATGAGGGAAATTAAGGGGTAAAAGAGGACAATGACAACCAGAAAACAAACTCAAAAACCAAGATGGCAAACGTGAAAGCTAGATGCAATGAAAGCTCGATGCTGATTGGCTGATAAAAAATAAACGTCTTATTAATTTTTTTAGCAGCCAATCAGCATCGGGCTTTCATTATGTAGGGCTTTCACTCGTGTTGTGAGAACTACAACATGCACGTCTGACTGCAAAAAAAGGTAGGAAAGTCGCATTTTCTTTGAAAGTGCTTTCAAAATTACAACTAACATGAGTTAATATGAAGAAAAAAGACAAAAAAGTCACTTTTGGTACTTGACATTCATCTGCAAAAGTCAATTTTGAACAGAACTCGTAAAAATAAGAGGTGTCCTAACGGCTAAAGATAATGATTACCCTTTTTTTGAACATTTTATTTACAGTATTATGCTAATGAGGTTGACTGTGTGGGTTCAGAGATAAGGGGTGGTTATGTGAACAATTTATGCACTTTCATGATGTGTATTGTTGTTTTTGACTCATTTGGAGTTTTGTTAAATAAACAACATATTTATTCATTAATTCAAATTAATTAAATTAATTACTAAATTAAATTAATTAATTAAATCATTAATAAATGTATTTACTTTTTAAAATAATTACCATTTTATATGCATAGCATGTTTAAGTTAAAGCACGTAAAAATTAATATGAATTATTTAGCCTGCAAGTAAAATAATTGTTTAAAGTAATAAATTAAATTAATTAATTAAATTAGTAATGAGTTCATTAATTTTTTTTCAAATTATGCATTTTTGAAGTGTACACAGCGCTCGAAATGTTATGCAAAGTATTTTTAAAAACAAAATGAAATATTGTACCGTCCAATTAATTAATTGCTATATTAATAAAATTAGTATTTTTTTAAGAATAAGTACTATTTTTTTAATTGTGCAGTACATGTAATATAATTTAAAGCACTTAAAAAATAATGTTAATGATTACTATAACGTCAAAAATCTTGAACAATTGAAGGGATGATAATCATTCTTTTACGTTAACAATGGGTTACCCCTAGGAAATTATGATTTATTTACATTTAAGAAAAACGCTAATTAGTTTTACATATGCAAGGCAAAAAACCTTGAAGCTTGTCTCCATTTTCGAACAACTTCAGTACTCTCTCCAAGCAATCACCGTGCTAATTGATTGCTTGCCTGGTCCCCTTCCCGCCCCGCCCCCGCCCCCTAAAAAACTTCTCTGATAAGCACTGCTAAATCTCAATGTTTCTTTTCATTGACGCTAATTGAATTCCTCTCTTTATTTATTTATTTGTTTGTTCATTAATTTATTCCATTATTTATTAATTTATTTCTCCATGTACCTGTACTTGTGTTTCGAACATTTGTTTTTCTTCATCAATGAAAATCCCACCCGCAAGGTTCTCAAATTGCGATCACCTTTGCGCAAGTTGTAACGTGCGCACGCAAATTAAAATGGCGCGGTGTAATTTGCGTGCTTCGGGAGTCCCTCGCGCAAGTTTAAACTTGCGTGCGCAAGTTTAAACTTGCACAGGGGGCTCAAATTGCACTCGACACTACTACTAGTACTAGCCCCATAAATGTGGCCGATATACTGGACTACCTCCGTAAATCGGTCCCACTAAAATGTGTCAACAAGCGTCAACAAGCATCAACTGGTGTCAGCAAACTTCAATGGTCATCAACCCAGCGTCAACAAATTTTGTAAAAGTTTTGGAAAATCAAAAACAGCTTTAGAAATGGCAACAAAGAACACCTTCAGCATATAAATTAACGTAAAAATTCTTTCAAAAATTGTTTTTTTCAATGCGAAACGTACCACGATTCTGTCGAGTTTGTGTTGGCCGCCAGTTTGTTTACGTGAAGCTAGCCGTACTTCGCATGCTTGAATTGTACAGAGCCATACTACGCATGCACAAAGTGTACAGCGCCATCCAAACAAGATGGCCTGACCGCAGACATATAAATGCATAGACTACCAGTTGTGCACGTAAAACCGAGATTTGAAAAAGTATGGGCAAATGCTTGTTGACAGCGCACGCATCCAAACAAGATGGCGGCCAACACTAATCGACAAACTCGTCGTACATTTCACGTTTTAAATAATTTTAACCTTAATTGATATGCAGAAGATGTTCTTTATTGCTTTTTCTACCATACATGTATAAAGCTACTTTTAACGTTCAAAAGCATATACAAAATTTGTTGATGCTTGTTGACGACCGTTGATGCTTGTTGATGCTTTTTGACACTTGTTGACGCATTTTAGTAGGACCCCTGTAAATAAAGGCCACACTTCCACCATGTACAAAAACATGTAGAAGTTTGTCAAATTTTGATTCTCAAATTAGGTTTAGTTTGTAGTTTATTTTTGCTTTAGAAGCATACTCAATAGGCTAATCAGAAAGTGCTGCTTTTTGGCGATCGTGAAGTGCCCCTGTTCTGTTTTGATCAAATTATAGTGAAAAATGTTTTTTTATTGCTCAAAAATCACCTTTACAATCAAAAGCAGACTTTTCTCAATTCTAATGATGCCCGTTTTGCAATTCTGAACAGATTCTTGGGGTAGAAATCACGATTTTCCTGCGCGGTTTGTGCCTTGCGATTCAGCGCGCCGTGCATGCTCACGGTACATCGCGCGGTAATCGCCATCTTTATTTTCGGGTCGCGTGTTGTCGCCACGCTGTCATTGTCATGTTACCCCCAAATTTCCCTCAAAAAATCAAAACCCTGCCCTCTATCTATGACATACCTGTTTATTGAGAATGTCGCCAACTAGTTTGGTAGGTCCAATAATTTTAAAGTGGATTTTGTTCCCTTAGGAACCGGGCCCTACACTGCATGATCGCCGCCTTTTTTCAGATGTCTATTTTTCGTGAAATTTCCAGATTCGTTTGCACACGTTTGCATATCAAAATTTCAACATAACATTTCACGAAAATTAGACATCTGAAAAAGGCAGCACTTTCTGATTAGCCTATACAGAGGGTGAGTATGCTTCTAAAGCAATAATAAACTACAAAGAAGCCTAAATGTGAAAATCAGAACTTGACAAAGTTTGACATGTTTTGGTACATGGTGCAAGTGTGGCCTTTATTTACGAAGGTAGTCAAGTAAATTGGGCACATTGATGGGTCTATGCACGGTCCTACTTACTAAAATGCGTCAACAAGCGTCAACTGGGGTCAACAAGCGTCAACGGTCATCAACCCAGCGTCAACGGTCATCAACCCAGCGTCAACAAATTTTGTAGAAGTTTTGGAACATCAAACACAGCATTATATGGTAGAAATACATGTAGCAACTAAGAACACATGCAGCATAATAAATTAAAGTTAGAATTATAGTCCAGTTTGTGTTGGCTGTCATTTTGTTTACGCGACCTAGCCATACCACGCATGCGTGAAGTGTACAGCGACATCCAAACAAGATGGTGGCTAGCCCCACTTGTGTGGCCTCCGTTTTGCTGCGATGTATGTTCGGCCACACGTCAGGTTTTCCAATGAAGAGTTTAGTCCAAACACTGGCGCACCTTTTTTGGCATGTTTTTACATACCACTGTATATGGTTGTATTCTATGATTTCTCATCTTTTGCCCTCCGGTTAGATTAGGTAATCTTTCTTCAAATCTTTCTGGAGTCCTTATGCTCCAGTTTCAGACTAAACTCCTTAGTAGGTTGGGAAACCAGACGTGTGGCCTAACGTACATGTACAGCGTAGCAATACTGAGGCCACACAAGTGGGGCTAGATGGCGGCCAACACTAATCGACAAATTTGTCGTACGTTTCGCATTAAAAAAAATAACCTTTTAAAATAATTTTAACTTTATTTTATATTCTGAAGGTGTCCTTTGTCACTTTTTCTACCATACAAAGCCAAAAAGAATTTATAAATATCTTCTTTAGGGCTATAAGAATCCATCTGCCAAGTTTGGTGCTTTGGACCAGTCGGTCACGATCTTGTCAAAACTTAGATCTAAGCCACCTGACTATAGGGAACCAGACTGGAAAGACAACATTTGTTTCTTGGTTTTTCCAGCATTTAAGAACACAAAACTTTAAAAAGGTAAAGTGTAACAGTAGGCCTATTTGCTGTAAAATACATGTACTACATGTGTGTCCTAAATCCATCAATTTCTGACAATCATAGCAAAAGCAAATGTATATTACCTTTAAAAGAAAACTCTTTAAGTTGTAGTTGTACTACATAACTACAATAAAAGAGTCAAAGTCTATTTCTGTCACATATTCCAAATCTAAATCTTTAACTCTGGTATGTCAGTAGACTAATACATGTATTTCATAATGTCCTATTCTTATTCTCACAAGTGCAGTATCAAGCCAAAAGAGAAGGAGAAGCCCCTCGTGATTCCATTGATAAAACATAACGTATATGGCAGTCATGGAAACAGACAACCGAATAAAGAAAAGGTCAAAGGGCCCGCTGATGTCTTGAAGACTTCCACAAACAGTCTTGAAGATGATGCAGTCAAAGAAATCATCAAAGGTAAGATTGTAATTAGGCTGAGCCTAATTGTTTGTGTAATGGATGTACATGTAGTTAATTCGGTTTGTGTTTTTAGTTGCTGAACTGTTTGAGTTTTCGTAACTTTATCTTCTACAACCAAGGATGCCCCTTTTCTGTGAAATAACCCCATACTTTTGATATTGTTCACTGAACTTACCAGCAAAGCATTGAATACATACAAATGTATAATTGAGGGGTATTTTGCCCCACTTTCAATTCTAAGGAATGGCCCTACAGTACATGTATGTTTTTACAGGTATACATGTAGTGTAGCTTAAAGGTACATGTTTAAAAAAAGCACCCAGAGAGCACAAAGCTCCGCCAAGGTTAAACAATTCCCAACCATAGACCATTATCATGTTGTGGCCATCTTGATTTTTCCCATTCAATCAACATAACCAAAGCAACGCTGGAAGGAAAATTAGTCTGGTTCCTATTTGTACAAAAAAAACCCATTATCATTCAGTATTGTTATTGGATGCAGGGAACATGACTGAAATGGTGGCAGCATGATAAAGGTATATTGTCAGTACACCTCAAAGAAATACTGGCATATCCACTGGACTTCCATATTGTTAACCATTTATCTGACAAATTACATCTGTTTTGGGGTAATAATTCTTTAACACTGTAGTGACTGCCCTAACTTAAACCGTGTGCAACCTACTGCAGAGGTCAACGGGTGAAGCATGTATTGCACTGTATTTGAACGGTGGTGTGTCCACACTGGACTGTATGAGATGCACATTCCCCACTCCCCCATACGTGAAGTATCGTCCTGTTGGTTTCAATGGTGTGCATGTGCATACCCTCATATTCCCTACAGACTGCGTTGCCCACACAGAGACACAGTGGCAATCTTTTGTGTACAAAATGAGGTCAAAATCCTTTAAAAAAAATCCTGGACCCACATCCACATCTGGATCACTTCCAAGATCTAATGAGTCTGTACTTTTACCAAGGACCACCCCTAAAACAAATTTCACGAAAATCCGTCCACAACTTGTTGAGTTATCCTGTTCACAAACAAACCAACACCGATGAAAACAATGTACATGTACCTCCTCGCGGAGGTCAAAAATGGCATAAAAGCGCAATTATGGTCAAATGCATGTATCAAAAATATATTGACTTTAACCAAAATATATTGACTTTAAGATTATGGAACATTAACTTATTTTACTCGAACAAGAATAAACATCGCTCCAGGAGGATTTACATGTACAAGGATTTTCTCAATAAATCAGTAGATTTGTCTGGGGAATTGACAATGTTCTAACATGTACATATGTCTTTCAAATTTGCGTTCTGTATGCCCAAGATTGAAACTGATATTTGGCTCATTGGGAACCCATGGCAAACAAAATGCTCAGTTTCTCCATAAAATTGTTTCAAATTTTTATGTACATGCAGATTTGTATCTTCTATTCAGATAAATATTTGAGCAAGCACCCAACTAATACATTGTACTAACTAATCTGCTTAGAAGATGATCTCACACTAAATGCCAACATCAGCAGGTTATGAACCTTCAAAATTATAGGTTTTGCCCTTCACCGACGTTTAAACACTGTATACACAGTGTGTTACCTGGGTTATAAACCTTGTGATATGTTTGTGGGACATGCACTTGAAACATTGAAGATGTACATAACGTCGTGTCAGTGCAACAAGGTCGTATGTCCATTCTGCAACAAAGTCGTATCTCGCGCGCGTATACGCTCCGTGCAACAACGTCGTATCTCGACGTCCATTGACTTTGCGTGTACATCCGGGTTATTTTAAGCCACATACGACCTTTTGACATTCTGAAACTCACGTTTTGCATTTATGCTATTTTAGGAGATACGACGTTGTTGCACTGACACGACGATAAAACATTTACAGTGTACATGTACATGTATGCCAAGTCCTTAGGTATATATGATATTCATTGTTATTATTCCTCTTGATGAGTTCCCCTTCTTGTTCGTACCGGTACCTGACCATTTGGGTTACCAAGCAGTACTGTTATGTTGGTCACTGATGTTCATACTTGCTATATTTGTCTTTGTTCTCAGACGCAGCTCAGTATAACGAGGAGTGGGAGGGGCGGGGCAATGAGGATCTCAACTTGACCATTCCTATTCTGATGCAGAACAGAGTCCCTGAGGGCACAGAGACAGATGATAAGCTGGATGTCTCAATCAGACCTGATGCGGTCAGTTTCTTTCCTTATTTCCTCCATTTAAATGAACTATTAATGGTCTCTTACAAGACGTTCTGAACATTTTTATAAACCACTCATTTATTAGAGACATTGTTTCTTACAAGGATTTTTTCTAATTTTGAAAAGCGTCTGTTCAATCTTGCTGTGCTTCTCTTACCCATAGAGCATTACCACAATACGTTACTTATTCATACATTTATGCAACATTCACTAAGACTGCGCTATCCATTTGCTCAGATTATTTGCACTCCAGTCATGCTGCTTTGCCCGCACAGCAAACATTGACCAATACTTATTCCTGCTATTCACCTCTGTATCAAGAAGAGCTGTGCTTGCCCCACATGGAGTTTGTTGCACTGCTTTGTATTAAAGTTCAACTATGCTGCTTTGCCAACTTAGCATTGCTGATTTGCACTCTCCACTGCTTTATTGAACAGAGGTGTACTTGCCCAGCCTAGGCAATTTGCACTTCTTATTACTGATGATCGGCCGTGCTACTTATGCCCCACATAATGACTTTCTCAAGGGCGTACCACTCACAGACTTCATGCAGATCTGCTGTATTCCAAAGGCAAAACTGGCCATAGAGCCCTCCCACCTACCGGTACTTTCCCAACGGTACAGCCTTTAACCTGCTTATCTAGTACCAACTACAACATAGTAATGGCTGTTTCAGTGAATCGACCATTACTCGTTTAGGTTGTTTCAGTGAATGCCAGTTCTGTCGTTTAAAGTGGGTGGGTATTTATTAGTTGAGCTCTTGTTTTCCTTGCAACCTCCTTGCCATCTGTACATTTGTTTCCTTGTGGTACACTCAAACCATGGCTCAAACCAACCTTCTTGTTTGTTTATTTTGAGGTCTGGCAGATTTCATACCAATGGGAGTAGACTGTATGTACATGTAGATGGATACAAACTCCAAGCACTTATACATTTGTTATTCTGTATCCAACAGGCATCTTCTGCTGACTACAATCAGGTCCCTATTGAACAGTTTGGCATGGCGATGCTCAGGGGAATGGGATGGAATGAGCAAGAAGGAATTGGTGCTAAGATGAAAAAGTAAGAACATGTAATTGCTTATTTGTTAGCTAGCTTGCACTAGTTCAACTGGTGAGTTGTGAGACTAAATGACGTTAACACCCCAAAATAGCTCATGGCTTTCTGCCCAATGGGAGGTCCGTTTTCCATTGTTTATGTCATATTGAGCGTGCGCGCTTAAGCTTAAACATGACGTAAACAATTAAAAAGGACCGGTGTGTTTGCTGCCACCAACGTCTCAAAAGTCTCCCATTGGCCATCTCCCCATCCCCAACCCCTAGCCCCTAGCCCTCGAGGTGCACTGGGCAACAGTTGGTCTTGTCCCATATAAACTTGGCTACTACAGTGCACACAGTTTGAAAATATATGATTGCACTTACATGTACATCAATGGGCAACATTAAGATGGGGATAAATGGGAGAGACCAATGGGAGAGACATTGGCACACATTGCCGATGATGCATGCTACTCAGGGGAAGACCCTATGGCTTTGTGCACATTCAGAATATATTTGGTCTTGAACCAGTAAGCGCACTTAGGGTGTCCCGTCCATTGGGCTCTCAAAAGTGATCAAAAAGTGTCCTCTCTTGTTTGCGCACCGTTCTTTTTACATGTATGCTTCAGCAGCAATTGTAGCAATTGCTAGTGCTTACTCCTGTTTGCAAATATATATAACCACATCAGTATCCATGGCCTTGATAATGTCCTACTAGTGCCATGTTACTACCTCACACTGTCTGCACTTCACTTTTCACCTTACAGTTTGACCTGGTTCTCTTCCTGGGCAAAGTAAAAGTAACCACTGGACTCACAAACAGTAACTGAGTTGAAGCTTTTTGGGCTGTTTGCACTGGCAATAAAATGGGGAAAAAAGTATTTCCATTGTCTCATGGAGTTATAAATACTAAAAAAATCCAATGCGAACATGGCTTTAATGGTGTTTCTACACTGTAGGTAAGCATGCTAGTGATGAATCAACAGCTGATATACCTCGGGTTGTAGAAGACCTCTCGCATGCCACTGGAGTGACAGACGTAGTGAGCCAAAAATTGTACTTTAGGCCTATGATGTGATAAGCATCAGTAAGTTTTATTTATGTTAAGTTTTGCAGCAACACAGCGCATAATTGTTACATGTTTCTATTATTATGTTGGATGCATGTATCCAGTGCTGATGGTTATTGTGCAGCAGTACTGGACAGATAATGCAGTTTAACATGCTTTGCTCTTAACCTGAATCAAACATTTTCTCCAGCGGTTGACAAGAGGAAGGCCACTTGTCCTTATCTCTTGGAGACCTGCCTGATGGATGAGAAGTTCTGATTAACAGCACTGTACATGCAGTCTGAGGTAACAGTGAAATTTGTGGTCAACATTTTTCATTTAGTTTCTTTCTTTTTTTCATTGTAGGGTTGTGAAACCCATCGAGGCAGTTTTGCGTCCCAAAGGTCAGGGGCTTGGAGCTGACAGAAGACCAGGAGATATGCTTGATAAAAAGAGGCTGCGCAAACTGAAACCAGGAGATAAGAAAATAGAAGAGGAAGTACAGGGGTTTGCTAAGGGTGTTGGAGTACTAGTCAGAAGTGGAGCTCACAAAAACCTGTATGGAAAGGTACATGTAAGAAAACAATGTGGAGGTGGATCGCCTCAATTATTGCTTGAAAACGATTATTATTTATTCCATTTCGGGTTTTTTTGGTTGCTTAACCCTAACTCCTGGGGCTCTTTTACTAGAAAGTATCCTGAATCCGCCAAAATCCACCAATTTTGTTATGCAAAAAATGCTGGTATCCTGAATCCATCAGAATCCCCCAGTGTAGATTCTGGAGGTATCCTGAATCCGCCAGAATCCACCAGCAAAAGTCTTGATGGATTCTGGCAGATTCAGGATACCATGGTGGCATAAAAAAAATACAGCATGTTTTTCCATAGATTCTTCAAAATCCATCACCTAAATTTCTGGTGGATTTTGACGGATTCAGGATACCATGCTCGCATGAAAATTGTGATGTGTGTTGTTGCATAGGATCCATCAAAATACACCAATGCATGGCGACCCCAACATGGATCAGTACCGAAGTGAATACGTCTCGCGCACAAAATTTGTGTGAAAGACATTAGCGCATGTTTCAGCCCGCAAACCATAGATATAGAATGAAAAGACTAGATCGGCAGCGCGTCCACACGCGCCCAGTCACTGTGCGATAAATCTCCGCCATTTTGGTTGTCTCTCATAGACGCGCAACAAATTAACGTAAAGTAATGGAGCTAAATGTATCTTTCCTCCAGCTTGGACCTAGCTCAACACGCGCAAAGCAAGAAATGCGCACCGAGTATTTACGTGATGCGCACACATAATTATTAGCGATGCACATGGTGTTCTTTGCGCGTAAACGACGTTGCGTTCGTCACGTTTTCGCGCATTATTTGTATCTTTCCTCCAGCACGTGACCCTCCATGCAAGTCCACCCAGTACATGTGTGTACATGTTTGTACAGTATGTGACAGACTTGGCAGGGCTAGTGCCAGCAGTATTTACTTGACCACAAACATTGCAAAAGAGTTAAACTGTTGAGATCCTGAATCCATCAAAGTCCCCCAATAGCTCAAAATGGAGGTATCCTGAATCCATCAAAATCTGCCAGTTCCGCTAGGCTTCGAATCCTGAGTCCATAAAAATCCCCCAGTTTGTTCAATATGGAGGTATCCTGAATCCGCCGAAATCCCCCGAAACAGGGGGGTGGATTTTGATGGATTTAGGTACGTTAGGGTTAAAAGAATTTTGGGGTCACTATAAACCAGTCCTACATTGTAGATTCTGTATAACCATACCTGTACCTCCCCATATGAATACGTGTACATGTACATGTATTATGACCATATGACATTTTACATGTACACATCATTTATTGTTCATATAACTCTCATTTCCCAAGTATTGCCTGACTTCCATAATGCTTGGACACAAGGGTCATTGAGTAGCAAAGATTCATGGGTAATGTGATATATACATTTCAGATCAAAGGTCACAGGTCCATTGTCAATCAAGGTCCATATTGATGTAAATCACAGAAGTTTATTTTAAGATTTTTTGGGAAAAGTTTATAGCATTGTACATGCTTTCATTGATTTTGATAAAGTTAAGCCCAATTAAGCTGTTAATCTCAGTGTTGGAATGGTCTGCACTAGTAAGCAGGAGGTCATGGGTTTGAGTCTCGCGTTAGTAAACTTCTGAATGTTTCTCACTAGCCCTCTTGTGCTTTGTCATGGAGCAGTAGGTTTAAACGAAAACTTTAATCTAAATATTTTCCTGACTGTACCTTGCTTGAGTTGCCAAGATGACCACTTGGGAGCGACAGACTGGTCCTCTGATGTGCAGAGCCCATGAAGATTTAGTTAATGAAAATAATATCATGCTCTCAACACATGTGAGCAATACCTAAGCTTAGCTGATGAAAAAAATGTAATTTCAATTTTGTGCGACTCGTGCACAAGTCTAGTAGTTTTGATTCTGTATTTTCTGGTTGAAAGTGCCTGATTGGATTTTGGTTCAATTCAGCCCGAGTTCCAAGTCCAAGTACAATGAAAGGTCAAATTAAAAGTAGAAAATCAGCACTGGAAACATCTTTTACTTCCTACTTTTTTGAAAAGGGCCAGAAGAGAAGCTGCTCATTTATTATACTCAGCCTTAGAGGTCAATGTTCTTAAAACTTGATTGGTTGCAGATCGAAGGAGTAGATGAAGACAATGCTCGTTTGGTCATCAAGCTTGCACTCAGTGGTCAAGCAGTCACACTCGGCCAGTATAATGTCAAGATTGTTGACAAAGAAGAATACAAGCGATTTTCAAAAGATTTGAGTAAGTGACTTTTGTTTCTTTACATTTTTAACTGAGTACTTTGTTTGTGCTCGCATACACATGTGAATATGAAATTGGTGGTCCACATTCTTTATGGTTCTATGTTTGACTAATTCAAGAGTTAATCTGCTATTGAGGTTATCCAAGTCCTCAGCGATTTGGTCGAGTTTACAGACCTCTTTTGTAAAGGTATACATGTACCTTGCATGGCACTAGTTAAATTTTGGCCCTGCATTGATAAACAGTGTCATGATCACTGAATCCATCATTGATCGCAATGCTCTTGTGACAAAACATGTTTTTGTGTGTGAATACTAGATCAAGCATTTTACCCTCCTGAGTAGGCACTGTCACAGTTGACTGAAGGTTAACTTCTTGAGCACAATCCAGCAAGACTTCACTGATGGTTGCTTGTTTTCCTCCTGTCTTGAATGTGTTTGAAGTCCAATCAATGTCTGGTAAATTAAAGTCCCAGAGTAGCCACACATACCGGTGGGAGTCTGCATTTGGTTACACATTGTCAATACTGGCCAATAAAACACAGAGAATCTCAGAAATGACCAGCTGAGTGCTAGGATTCATATTTGCCTCCCTGCACATAGTGGGAAAAAAAAATTAGAAGAGATGATTTGTTCAAGCTGCATATTTCTGGAAATGTGTCACAACCAAACACAAAAAATGTTGTTTATTTGTGTTTCATTTGTGACTTCAATAATATCATGGAGTGTCGTGGAGTGCCATGGAGTGCCGTGGCTTTGTGTTCTGGTGCATTGTACACATGGTCTCGTGGGTAATTCTGCAGGTTGTGGGTAATTCTGCAGGTTGTGGTATGTGCCTCTCATGAGTAGTACTAAAAATCTCCTTATATGGAGATCGGCACGTGCGTGGCACATCCTGTGCGATGTGGCGCAGAACGCGGCGGTGCTGGTGTAGTGTGAATTTTAATAGAACTCCATGAAATACAGACTCATTGGTAGTACTATGCATGCCTAAGTGAAGATAGTGAACGTTCAACCAATAGGAGTCCAAATTTCATGTGACACCGGAAAAGTGTTTAAAACCCGTTTTATCAACTGTTTAAAACCACCCACGTGACAGGCTCTCAACCAATACGAATGGGTAAACTGTCTTAGGTATTTATGAATGTGCATTAACCCTAACCCTGCCAGACGCAGCACAGTGCATCAGGTGGAAAAGAACTGGTGCACTTTGATGCATTCAGCTACCAACACCAGTGCGTGAATGGCCAGCTCTGAAACAATGAGAGCTAAGTCCCACTGAACAATGCCACAGTTGTGTCCTGCTGCGTGCAGTGACCACGGACTCTGAGGCAGTGTGGCCTTGAGACTTTTCCCCTGATGGATCTTGCTACATTTGGCAGGCTTGTCACTTAGTCAAGTGCTGCATGTTGCTACGTTTGGCAGGGTTCTAGCAAACATACCCTGGAGGGTTAGGGTTAAGGATGGGAATTCGTCCGTGTTTTAATTTGGAATAATTGTATTTTGAGTGGAACTTACATGTACATCATGTACAGAGATTCAACAAATGAATGTTTAGCCTACATTTTAGAAAGGCTACCATCTGACCCAGAATAGTTGTATGCATGCAGTGAGGCTAAGTCACATAGAAGAGGCACTAATCAATTTATATCCAACCACACACTGGAACCTGTAATATTTGTCGTCATATTCGATTATCTGCATCAAATTGGTTTCCTTTGAGACAACAAAAGCCACCTATGATGACACATACTAAGTGAGTGACCTTGTCCTGTCACTGTGAACAGAGCAGACTCATCCTTATCACATAACTCATTAGTTTAAGTCTGAGGTGGTGTTTACAGGAGAAAATGTCATGGAATGTAGGTTTGTACCAATGTTGTACATATCCATGTAAGTCTTGACCAGTCTGTCTCAAGACAGGGCTGTCAATTCTTACAGTGGGAATCTAAGGTTTTGCAGGCCAGTAAATCGGTTTGAAATTGCCTACGCCAGCCAAATCACGATTTGCATGCCCTCAAATTCTTCAGTATTTGAGCATATTGTGGGCCATGAACTGGAGGGTTTGTGAAAAATATGGTTGGAAGCCGTGCACAGGACCGTGAGCTTGTATTTCTGTGAAATTTGGATGAAATTGGGACCCTATGGAGTGTAGGCACCATTTTTCAAAATGGCGATGGGCTTCAGGACTATTTTAAGGGGGTGATCATTTTCGGATGGAAATTTCTCCCAAAAGTCATCAGAGTACCTCCCAAAAATTGAAATAAATATGAAAGATGATGAAATAAGCTTTAACTTTAATGACAGTGAAGTCATACAACATATGACCATCCTTTGGATCCGTCTCCTGCTGCTGGCCATATCAAGAAGGAAATGGAAATGGGACAAAAAGTGGATATCAAGAATTTCAGTGAAACATTTCTGTTTCGTGGACCCTTTAAATAAATGATTATTTTCTTTTTTTCAGGCCGTTTCAGCAAAGGGCAAGAGGAACAAAGTGAAGAGGCTAAATGTATATCCCATACAGATTATGGAAACAGTGATCAATTAAACAGTGAAGAAAAGGAGGACCCCATTAAACACAGAACTAGTAATGGTGATTCAAATAGCGAACATCACAGAGAGAGCAGGAGAAATGAGAAAGACAGGGAAAGAAGAAAACATGGTCATCAAAGACAAGATGAGAGGAGTAGTAAGAATCATCAAGAGAAATACCGTGACAGACAGCAGTGCAGTGACAGGGAGGAGAGGCAGATGGACAGTGATAAAAAAAGGAGGAAAATACAAGATAAGTATGACAGGTGAGTTCAATATGTTTTGAGTTACTGACTTGAGCATTGCCTTGGTAACCAGACATGTAAAAACTGCATCTATGTTTGTGTGTGTTGACACAACTCGGATATGTTTGTGGAATCTTTTTCATTTATACCGGTATGTAAAAACAAATTCACATATTCCTGAACAAACCATTTATATTCGTGTACTTGTAGATTTAGACTGGTTAGTAAGTAGAATTTAACCTGAATTTATTGGTAATAATTTTAAAAAAAATATTGATGTTTGCAATGCTCTTTGTCAATGTGTCTTTGTACATACTGTAACCATGGATTATGTGCTCACAGGCTTAGTACAGAAATAGAGAATGATCATTTTGTGCATAATTCTGTGGTTGACAGAGAGCTTATTGGCGCTCATGTGTATTGCTATGCTTTGCCAGCAGTTTCAATTTCAGCTTCAGTTTCCAATTGAGATGTCTTTGAGTTTTTAGCAAAGGTAGTAGCAATTGTCTTTTGACTTGGAGTAACTTTTAATCTCAGTAAATTTGTTTATTAGTATAGATACTAATAAACTAATACAGATCTCTGTCTTTTCCTGCAGCGACAGTGGCAGTTATAATACGCCTAGTGCCAATGCACAGTCCAGGGAGCAATCCTATTGGCTGAGACCTGATCTGAGGGTACGTTTCATTGACAGACAGTATAAGAAGGGCAGGTACTACAATAGCAAAGTCTGTATTGTGGATGTTATAGCACAGGGGATCTGTACTTGCCGGACTGAAGATGGCAGAATTTTGGAAGGCAAGATACCCTTGATGTTTTTTTTTAATAAGATGGAATTTGCATAGGGAGATGTAAATGTTACATTTGGTTTTGCCCTTCACCTGTATATTTATAAACACTGTATACTCAATGTTGTCCGAGGGCTTGCTAGAAAAATTCACAAGCTTATTCAGGTGGGACTCGAACCCATGGCCTCCTGCTTACTAGTGCAGATGTCCTACCACTAGACCACTGAGCTTTCTGGTGTTGGCTGGCTGGTTCGAGGCGATGTAGCAGCGGGTACCGCAACCAAACATTTGTTGTTTTCTGCACTAGTAACAGGATGTTGTGGGTTCAAGTCCCACATGAGTAAGTTCGTGATTTTTTTCTTGCAAGCCCGTGAAAATGACTGAGTATATTACAGTGTTTATATAAATACATCGGCGAAGGGCAACATCCCAATATAAAAACTTTTGGTTTGTTTGACTGATATGTGTTTGCTCAACATCCTTACTTTAAATGTTGCAGTTTATAATATAATAATTTTTGATATTCACCCCTTTAACTGCCCTAGTCAAGGGCAGAGGGGAACATGTTCAAAAAAGTTCCGTTATGACCCTTATGTTCCCAAACTCAAGATAATTTCTCCTTTTGAAGTTTGTAAAAATGTAGGCCTACCATGTCATTTCATCATGTGTAAAGGCCAATTTACACATACGCGACATTATGGCCCATATTTTACAAGTAAAATTATAGACATATCAATGTGCATTTTTACATCTAGCCACAAAATCTTGCATCTTATCACTCATTTATTTGTGCTTGTTTATAATAATGCGCAACATTGTCATGCGACAATGTCACGTATGTGTAAATTGGCCTTAAATGTATTTCATTTTGGCTAGTGGAAAGTGCCACCTGTGGGGAGATGTTTTTAGAAATATCTCAACATGCTTTCAAACTTTTGATTTTAACCTTCACTTGGCTCACCTCAAACATGGTCACAGGTCAAACACAGGCTTGATAATGTACTAAGTTGTTCAAACCCCACGTTCTTGTAAAACATAGGAACTGGATTACTTTTGTTGTCTACACGTGAACATGAAATAAGTTCCCTTTTTCTCAGTACCCATCAATACATTTCATCTGCATCAGGTGAATGAGCAAGTTGCATTTTGTTTATTTCACAGTTCACAATTGTTTGTGTGTGTTTTGTGTTCTTTTGACAGATATTGACCAAAGCATGCTAGAGACATTAATCCCAAGAGGAGATATGGCGTGTGTCATGATCGTTGCTGGGGAACTATGTGGACAGGTACACTCCTGATTAATTTTGTGCAAACCCCCCAAACGGGTCGGTTTTTCCAACCATTTCAGTGGAGTCAGGTCGGTTTCGGTTTTGCGTTTGTCATTTTCGGGGTGTTTGCAATTTTCTGAATTTAGCTTAGTTGCCCTAAGAAGTCTAAGTAGTACATTTAAAAGCAAAATTACAAATTATATGTCACTTTTTTTTCCTTTTTTTTTCTAATGTTTCACTTTTGTGTGCATTGTTATCTTTATTTTACATCCAAAAACTATAATTTTAATCAATATGCAAATTAGCCAAAAGATAGTAATCTGGTTTTAAAAAGTCTCTTTTTTCCAAAAATCATTGAAAATAATCATTGTAGAATCAATATCCAAAGTTTAAAAGTGATAGTAAAACAGGAACATGTTGGTTGCTAAGAGATTAAAAGTGAGCTTTTCATGCCCAAATGTACAACAGAGCCAGCTATTTCAAAGCCTGTTCAAATGTGTAATTTGAACTCCATGGAACTAGTAAATATGCAAATTTATCATATCTCCACAACGCGAAGGGCTACAGAGCCGAGTCATTCACCAAATGAAAGGTTGCACTTTGTGCTTTCCAGTAGTGTATATAACTTGAATTTAATATTTTACGACTTATATCACCTTTTCCGGGAGTGGGTCACATACATGTATGGCAACTCAACACCAAAACAGTTGGACTCTGATTAATGGTTGTATGCTTGACCCCATGTAACTAGTGCAGTCCTCACTCTTACAGAGTCAAACAAAACATGCAGTTGCATTTCAAAGGTTTGGGGTGGTTGGGGTTATCCAAGAAAAAATAAACTGAGGTTTTTGACCAAAAGAAATGTTTAACCATATTCCATCTCACTGCCACATCACTCAAATGAAAGATCTTGTGCCCTTTAATTTGATACCACACTTGAGATATTGATGCTTGCAGTTTTGAAGATTTCATAATTTTACCATTTTTCAGCCATGTCCACATTCTCATGGAATTGCCCATATGTATATTAGATTACACTTTTATTTTGCTGATTTCAGACCAAAAACGACATACTTATGGCCTTTTATTTAAAAATCATTATTTTCCTCCTACCATGGCCACTTTTAGAAAACATAGTTTTACGATAAAAAAAAATACCAAGTTAATTAAATTGCTTGACAAACCAAGAGTTTAGTCATTATGTAGGCTTTGGTTCATATGCCAGATGTGCCCATTTAGAAAAGAAGCTTGTGAAATGCCCCCAAAGGGTAAATAAGTTTTGGTTTGAAATGAAACCATTCTGCCAACTCCCATATTATTGGCTGGAAAAAAAATCGCACCCAGATTGCATGTTAAGCTAGATTTCTGGTTTACTCCACCACCCAAAAAAGCAAAAAACGTGTGACCCAATGTACAGCGTAGCAATACCGAGGCCACACAAGTGGGGCTAATCTCTGTATATAAAGCCCCCACTTTTTAATGTGATGGCCCCACCCTTAAAAGAATTGGGCAAATGGCATTAAGTGGTGTTGAACCATTGATCTCTATATAAAGACTGGATTAGTGTACGGAAAGCAGCAGAAGAAAGTTATTTGAAGCTACATCGGAGAGACCAGCTAGAGCTAGTGATCTATAAAGGACAAGTTGGCGTTCACAATTTTCAAATTTTGGGGTTTACCTTTTGAATGCTGCAGTTCACTGTTTGTGACATTTGGAAATATAATCACAACAGAGTGTGTCCTTTTTAGAACATCATAAAATGTGTACATGTATGTGACCAAAATCCGCATAAAATCTTGATACAGCGCATGCTGTATGTAGGCGTAGAACGTTCGTATATATCGGTGGCCATTTTTGGAAGATTGGGGGCAAAGTGGTCAAATGCAAATTCAACTGTGTGACTGGTGTATGAGCATCTGCTATCCATATAGAGATCAGTGTGTTGAACTAGCTTGGGAAAGAGATTCAAAGATTACATCCGAAAATGCATCATGGGCCCCATAAGCCCACTGACTATTTCTTTTTTCCTCCAGTTGGGGTCTGTGGTGATGCGAGACAAATCCAAGGCCAACGCTGATGTCCAACTTCTTAGAGACCGCGACCAGATTAAAAGACTGGACTATGATGATATATGTGAATATGCTGGCAATATACATGATGAGGAAGATTACTAGGTTGTATTTTAAACAGAAATCAGATTGTGAAAAAAGAGGATGTGTAAAAAAAATGGACAGACAGATCTTGTAATTAGTCACCCTACAGCTATTTTTGAACAACACGTTTTTAGTGTGGTCACATTAGTACACTGTGGGGCTACCATACTAAAGTATCATTTCTTTCAAGTGGTACATAATTGCATAAGGAATGAATTGCTGGCCAGCAATTGTGTCTCATGATAAAATACAGAAGAATCTCATTCTCCTTCACCAGAACAAAAACTTGCAGCTCATTAGCAGTTGGATTCTCCAATACAATTAGCGGTGCATTGATAAACACAAGTGGTTCGGCTTTCGTTCAGTTTAAGTACAGTTATCATTCAAGTACAATTAAGTCAAGTACAATTACAGTCGAGTCTCGTTAATACAAACTCGTTTGGACCTAGCCAAATTGTTTGTTATATCAGAATTTTGTATTAAGAGGAACATCAGTCCCATTCATTGTGCACATAAACGCACATTCGGGACTAAGGCTTTATGTTTGTTATAACCAGAATATTTTTGAAATTTTGTTAGTGTTTTTGCTGTAAGAGATGTGAAAACCTCAAGAATCATCAGTCGTATCCATGGGTAAATAGAGAGGCATGTAATGAAGAGTAAATAATGCATGTGTTTCATTTCTTTGTTACCATATCCCTAACCCTCTAGTTCCACAGGACTACCCTGCTAAAGCCAACAGAGTTTCCTGTTCAATCCACTGTGCCTTATTTTCAGTTGTCTGCTGAATCCAACAGAGTCCAACATGTTGTTATAATGCCATTCAGTTGCCTGCTGAATCCAACATTTTGCATGAGGAATGTACACAAGGGGTTTACTGCTCAATCCAACAGGCTCCATCGGGTATATGACATACATGTAGTTGGATCCCGTTGGATTCAGCAGGGTTAGGGTTATTAATGTGCAACAACAATATCTTGCCATGGTGATCAACAGTGACTGTCATGTGAATTGTTTGATAATCAATGAGTTGCAACTGCAATCAGGCTCTCAATGTCATGATGTACCACATTGCAAGTTGCTACTCGCAGGCCACGGCAATTTCTTTTTACTGTTCTATGCTTCCAGAGATACAGAAGGCAGTCAAATAAAGAGAAAAAAAGGGTTGTCATCATTTACTTTTTTTGGTCCCTCTCTTTACCTAAATATCCATACAAGTGAGATTTTTCTGACATTCAAACAATAAAAAAAAATCAGAATTTGAGAAACACGACCCAAATGTTTGTATTCCCATGCATCAGTAATGCACTGCGTGTGCTTCTTTCCTGAGATAATCCTGAATGTGCATCAAGGGCAGATCGGGGGGGGGGGGGGGGGGGGGGGGGGGGGGGGGGGGAGCAACGGGGGCTATGCCCCCCCCCCCCAATAAACCCATTTTTTTGGTTTTTTTAATGCAGGCATTGAGTACACCACCATCTTTTCCTCAAAAAACTTGGGTTAAAGTGGTCAGAAATTGCCTCAGATCACACCACAGAGCATCTAGAATCCAAAAAAAAAGGCGGGCCCTTGAATAAGCGGGCCCCGAACCCCACGCAGTCATTTTTTTGGACCCACTTTTTGGGGACAACATATTTTTTGCCCCCCACCAAAAAAAAAATTGTGTTCTGGATCCGCCCTTTGTGTGCATTGAGTGGCATTCACAGTCCAGATCTCAGCAAGTATGTGAAGAGATTAAAGGGCCCATATGGGCAAGATAATTTTGAAAATACAACCTTTTAGTCCCATTTAATCTTATTTTTAATTTCGTTTCGCCATTTTGAAGGGTATTTTGGTGCCTTTTGGTTTTTATAGTTATGTTTGTCCATATTCGTATTAAAGCAAAACTGTAGTGTCATTTCGGGCAGAAATCTCAATGTTACAGCTATTTCAGCGCAAAAAGTTGCTAATAAGTTTGAATATTTTGCTGTCATTTACTTTCGTTTCTTTGGTGATTCATTGTTGTGCAAGTACATGTACATGGCAGTGAGCCAATGAGCAACACTTTCTCACAAATCAGGCGTGGATCGGGGAGGGGGGGGGGGGAGTAAAAAAAACCCCAAAACGGGTCCGTCAAAATATTTTTTTCATGGAAATTCCTTAAAAATAACGCAATCCCCCCAAACGAATTGTACTGTGAATAATGTCTGCCTGTGCACAAAATACGGACAGAGCCAGCTTGATTTGTACACTATTCTGTAATATAGTGTTCATAATAGTGGAACAGCACCCCCATTGAAAGTATAGTACAAGCCCCCCCCCCCCCCATTGGTTTTAGAGGCCAAGTGTATTAAGGAGAAAAAAATCCTGTCTACATTTCAGATTTTGTTGTTGATGAAACCCCCCCCTTGCAATAATTCCTGGATCCGCCCCTGCAAATGTTTTCAATGAGCAAATTTTGGCTTTCAATTTGAACAGAAAATGCTTTAAAGGGAATGTACATCATTGGCTTTTGCTGTAATTTTCAGAAATGAACTATTTGAGGGCTTTGTATAATAGATCAAATATTGTTACACTGTCATGTTTGAAGTTTTGTGTTCGAAAATGCTGGAAAAACAAAGAAAAACAAAAATGTTCAAGTAGTCTGGTTCCTTGACTCCACTAAAGATAAAATGGATCAATTTATAAATGCCGGAAAATTGTAAGTTAAGGGAACCAGTCTAGCTGGCCTGCACCCGTTCATGAACATGTAACCAATAGCAAACAAAATTTGGACTGAAAAAAAGTGTAAAGTTGGAGCAGTAGTTGAAAAATAGTCGGGTTTTCCAACGGTGGTCGGCCGACCACCGTTGGAAATGTATACAAAACTACAATTTTCTTGAAAATGACTTCACACCAGGTGCCATAATTTTACAGGATGCTTGAGACTGTCATTTACCAACATCCTAGTAAGGTATTTCGTAAAAACTTGGTAGTTTTATTTTTCGATGTTTGAAAATGTTGTATATTCCCTTTAACTGAACAGTGCCTTCCTGAAATGACATCACAGCAACAGCATCCTCAGTTGTCCAGAAAAGCATGGAGAATTTTTTATGTGAAGTGCACTTTTCAATAAAATTAACCAATAAGGGATGTCAAACAGTTTTCATACATGTAAGAGGAGTAGAAAGTTGCGCAAAATGTGTGCCTAAGAAAAATTCCTCGCATTGCCATTTAAGCCCACAAATGTGGATGAACTCAACCAATTCTGCCAAGAGGATTGATCGTTCATAAACTTATGTCCCACAGTACATATTGTATTCAGCCAGAAACTTGTGGATGGCTATATCAGAAGTATTTTATTGCACTTCAATGGTCAAAGTTGAAAGAAGTATTTTCTATAGATGACCCACAAATTCAAGCGCAAAGTTTGTGACACAAGAGCACACATTTCAGTAGATTTATCACAGAGAAAAGTTCCAGGAACAGTTTGAATTTATGTAACAGTTTCACATGATTTCCTGTGAAGGTCACTGTATGCAAACTTCTGACTACTACTTATTTTCACCTTCACCATGTACAAAAAAAAGCTGCACAGCCTAGCTTCCTAAAACACCGAGATGGCCTTTCAGAAGGCTGTTCCAGGTTTCTACAGCAATCTTCAGGCAACTCCTGTCATAGTATTCATCACAAGCTATCATGACTTTTTGAGTGAGTGGTAAAAAATGCAAGGAGAATCGAGCCAAGACCATACACACCACATTACTTAACCACTCGCCCTGTACTATGTATGTATGTATTCTCTGTTCAATTTTCCTTGTGGCTTCACCACTCAGTAAAAAATAATGTACGATCAATGGCCTTGTCAAAAGGCTAAACTCCAGCTGTAGTGTCTAAGCTGCGCTTAGGTTTTTGAGGACGACAACTGTAGCAGGATGAGTTCAGGTAACAAAGAACACTCTCTTGTGCCACAGTGGTACCTGCAGCAATGCATCTAGGTCTATACCTTCAAAATAAATCTTCAAGATCCAATCATTACCTACAGACAGGACACCCTTTCTGATAACATTCACGTCTGGCCGACCTTATTAGAAATGAACCCGTTCCATCAATAATGGAATCATACCATGAAACAACTCATGATGCCATCTTAATTGCCCTCAGCCATAAACACCAGCGCTCCTTCAATTGGACCCAACAATGCCTCATCATTAAGGTCATGCAGCTCCATTTATGTGGTTTATGGGACAAAAATACTCGACTTTCTATGGCCAATTTTAGGCCTTTGTTCCAACCAAGCTTTGAACAGATGGCATTCAACACCAGCCTGAATTTAATGGCAGTAAGGAATGCAGCTGAACAAAAGATATTCCACAGACTGGAGTGCCTCTGTGGACTGCACCCACTCTCCCCACCTTTTGTTTAAAATCATGACAGTAGAATCCAGGATTTTGATTTGTGGCTTGTTGGACCCGTAATTCCATATCGCCATGTTTACGGGTCTACTCTAGGCTTGCGTTTGATTTTAAAATCTATTTATCTTTGACCTTTTATTCCTTGGGAAGTAAACTGTAGAGTTCTGATAACTTTGCATTGTTTCCTACCTCAATGGTCTAATTTATAGGTTATGGAAACAGTACCTTTATGTTCCGTATCACGGCCACCTCAGATTTAAAACTTTAATCCTTTCATTCAAATAGAAAGATATTATTCGCCTTAGTGTCATCACTGGTGGCCCTGGTGAGTACGGAATCTCACCAAATGGGATCAAGTAAACTCTATGGAGGGAGCATCTCAGATTGAAAACTTATTCAAAACATCATCTTAAATTCAGTTAAATATACAATATCTTCAACAATGCTACAAACCTCCAAATGGGGTTACTTGCAGACGTGCGGACACGCACCCACTTGACGCCACAACACAATCGGACATGAAAATGAAAGCACGCCCCGGTAGCTTGGAACATCCAGCTAGCAGCTTGCATGGCTTGAGGCTCATGACGGGGAGATTCGCCATGTCCATGACGAATCTCCCCGTCATGTAGCCCGACTGCGTCTGGCCGTACAGTACTATCGCAAGCTCTGTAGTACGGCCAGACGCTGAATGCTTCCAAAAAGACTGAATTTTTTTGGCCGCCGATGTAGCGATTTTGCTACATCTTTTGATCGAGATTATCTTTTCATCCAGGACAAAAATTTCCACAGTTAAGGTTCTTAGTCGTAGAGCAACTCATACCTTTTCGAAAAAACGTTCTTTGGTCTCAATATTTTCATCCATCTGGCCAAAAGACGACTTTCAGTAATCATCTTCCACAAATATCGTCCCGAAAATGCTCCCCCATGCGATTTCAAAATGGCGGCCGCGCTGTAACTCATGAATATGCATAAACAGTCTGTGACGTATGACCTCGTGTTTTTGGACGTGCGTGCACACCGCCGCGCGGACGTACGTGTGCATGCACGTACTGGGCTGTTGTCTACAAGTAATGTACATGTACGTACATGTACGTACGGCGCCGCCGCACGCACGTCCAAAAACACGAGGTCATACGTCACAGACTGTTTATGCATATTCATGAGTTACAGCGTGGCTGCCATTTTGAAATCGCATGGGGGAGCATTTTCGGACGATATTTGTGGAAGATGATTACTGAAAGTCGTCTTTTGGCCAGATGGATGAAAATATTGAGACCAAAGAACGTTTTTTCGAAAAGGTATGAGTTGCTCTACGACTAAGAACCTTAACTGTGGAAATTTTTGTCCTGGATGAAAAGATAATCTCGATCAAAAGATGTAGCAAAATCGCTACATCGGCGGCCAAAAAAATTCAGTCTTTTTGGAAGCATTCAGCGTCTGGCCGTACTACAGAGCTTGCGATAGTACTGTACGGCCAGACGCAGTCGGGCTACCCGTCATGAGCCTAAAAGCTGGGGTTTCCAGGCTAGTAAAAGCGCGCAAAACTGAAAAAGAACGACGTACGTCATGTACGTACAACCAACCAAAGGATAGACCCAACCAACCAAAATATAGAGTAGGAAAAAAGTTCCACTACTATAGCTCACAGATATGACAGATAACACGTCTTCGCTCGCGAGAACAGGAAACGATAATGCCGTTAATACGCGGTACAATGCGCGTATACATCCGATCCGGCCCGGTCCATGCGCATACATGCATGGCGCCGGCGATGAACATGAACATGCAGTTGATGCTGGTCTGCCCAGTTAAATCCTGTCCCAACTACGGTGTTGCAGTTGGGCCGGCCCCACTCCGTGCAACCCGGACGACAATGATGATGACATCGACATCGCTCTCTACCCATCTTTCATGGAGTCAATCGGTGGGAGACCAGACGGGAGAGGGTCATGGCCTAGCGGTTAAGAACACCGGACTCATGCTCTGGTGTTTCAGAGGCAACAGTGGCGTGGGTTCGAGCCCGCCGGGTGGACACTTGTGCCCTTGAGCAAGGCACTTAACCATTATTTTTCGTCCTTCGGATGGGACGTAAAGCCGTAGGTCCCGTGTGTTGTGTAATCCAATGCACATAAAGGAACCCAGTGACACTTATCGCTAAGAGAAGGGGTTTGCCCCGGTGTTTCTGGTCTAGGTCCAGTATAAACTTCCACGCGGAGTATTTAGGAGTTGAACCAACCAAGAACCAAGAAGGAGGGGGGGGGTGTTGTTTTCCGACTTTTTAAATAAATTTTGTAGTGTGTGAATATCGCATAAAAATGTATTGATTCCATTTGATCTGCTTTTTTCGTGAGCTAGCGACGGTCCTATAGCCAGGATTTCAGTTGGGCGGGGGCTAGCAGGGCGTATTGATAATAACTCCTTGCTTTATGATGTAGCCACGGAGGATAGGAAGCCACGGAACTATTATCATTCAGTGGCGCATCCCGAGCTGAGGGGGGGGGGGGGGGGGGGGGCCTCGGGGGGCTTGATCCCCCAAGAGGGTTTTTTTTTAGTCCCCATTTGACCTTGGTGATATGTGTGTAGCCTATTTTCGAGTTGTAAAATAGGGGTGTAAGTGGCGCCACCAACGTCAAAATAGTCCGCCCTCTGCGGCCAAAAAGCCAAATCTCGGGTGTGCCACTGTAGTCATTTTGTATATTGCCGCGCCCATATCGTAGCCAAGAGGGGGGGGGGGGGGCATGGCCCCCTGCTGTAACAAAAATAAAAATATGTAATATAAAAATTGTAAAGACATTTTACCAAAACCCGACGCCAATTACGAGTATGTGTATTTGGTTGTCCGAAAATCATGCAATGCCTTTTGCTCTCCAAAAAGCTTTAAAACTTTTGCTCAAATAAGTTAAGGGGAAAGGGGCCAGTGATCGCCTCAGATTGTTCCACAGAGCAGCAGTGGCGGTTCTACGAGGGGGGGGGGGGCTAGGGGGCTTTAGCCCCCCAAAATTTGTCTTTTTTTGGGGGGGGGGGCCCAAAAAAATTTCCAATGCACTAGCAAACTATGTAAGAATTTGACGTACACGGGAACGGTCTCCCCCTAAATGAGAAGGTTGCATTTGAACACGTTTAGTTAATATAGTGTGCCTGATTGTAGGATTTTATCAGCGCGGCTCCCCATTGAAAAGCCCCCACCCCCACATTGATTTTCAGGGGCCTAAGTGTACGGAGAAAATAACCTGTCTACATTTCAGCACGCCTCCCTGAAAAAATTCTGGATCCACCTTGCTGGCCCCCCAAAAATATTGGCTCTAGAACCGCGCCTGCAGAGCAGCTTGATTCCAAAATTTCCTTTGAACTGTTTTGCACGAAGTAAAATCAGGCAATACAAAGGAATAAAAAACATACAAGGCCAAAAAAAAAGTCTCCGGTTTCTGGTATGCGCGCGCGTCGCCGTAGCCATGCGCGTCGTCAAAATGAAAAAGTTTTTTTTTCAATGAAAGATGATGTCTCAAAAAACCGCCAAACTCACTGGTTTGACTGGAATCCTGCTGCTGCACAATTTGAACGTGTTTTTAGATTGGGTTATGGTCGAGAATAAGCTTTATGTGGCCTCTCTGGACTCCCATATATTTGCACTAAGTTTAGTCGGGCACCATTTGCAGTCATCAGCCGACATTTGAAGCAAAAACATCAGGTAAAAAAAAGAAAAAAAGCAGCGTCGCCGCACCACTTTTTGGGCAAGCTCCATACCAGAAACCGGAGACTTTTTTTGGGCCTAAGGCAAAATAAAAATTGAAGGGGGGGGGGGCCCCCCGGAAAAAAAAAGGAAGAAAAAAAGAAAAAAGAAAAGAAAAAGAGTCAAAGTCATAGTGGTGTAAATTTAATGGGTTGGGTTGGGGGGCAAATGTCCCTGGCCCCCTCTTAAACTGATAAATCGAGAATATGTCGAGAAATACAAGATTTTTTGGAGGGAAAATATGTTTTGCCCCCTTCTAGAAAAAATCCTGGCGACGCCCATGGACAGACAGATCGACCTACAGACAGACAGACTGACCGACCGCACTTATGATGTGCCGTCCCAACTACACATTTTACGTGTACATGTAGTTGGGACGTCCCAACTATAGTTGGGATCGAAGTCTTATTTGGGGTGTAGCATTGAGCTCACAGCACAACGGTTCGCGCCGCCCCTAGCACAAAGTCAACTCTTGGTGGCGCGTGACATGTAACGATAAGTTACATAACTTGAAAGTAAACAAGTGGCTTGTTTGATGGATTAATGTTGCCATATAAGTATCTTCGAATATCCGAGTTTTACCCACTATGAATTTGGCATTGAGGAGTCTTTATACAAGAACTGCTTTTTGCAGTTCAACTTCAATGGTACACGGACCACGTTTCCGAATCCAAGTGTCTCTGAACAGAACCGCTAAAATAAATCAGGATGGTCATGATGGTCGTGATTGCGCATGGACCAGATTGTTAACTGCAGGTGTAAGTACATCTACGAATGAAATGGCTGAAAAGAAGTTGAAGGTAATTAACACGTATTTTCTGTTTCCTTAGTTTTATAGTTTAGTACTACTAGTACGTAGTAGCCCCACTAGTCTGGCGTCGGTATTGCGGCGATCGTGTATAGTGTAGGGCCCCTGTTTAGTTTCGATCAAATTAGAGTTACCATTGATTTTTAATTACTCAAAAATTATACCTGTTCAACCTAGAGCAGACTTCTCTCACTTCTAATATAAACTCCAAAACTACTGAGCACCTCTCGCTCAAATAACGACGAATCAGTACAGAAATTCCTTCGCAATCCAGCCATACTCTTTATTTGGCCCAAAGCAGTGATATTGTACGAATTTATGCAATTTATGATACATGTACATGATACCGAAAGAAGTTGGACTTTTGTATACGTGCAAAGAGCAATTTTTGTTGGTACCATTTGTCATAAATTGCATAATTTTCAGAAGCGTATCCAGCTTTGGATGTCAGGGGGATGGGGCAACCACACATCCGCGCCCAAAAGTTGACATTTTTTCTCCGGACACTTGGCCTCTGTAAAATCCAAAAGGGGGATGGGGGGGGGGGGGGGCGGTTCCAAATGGGGGCGCTCCTCAAAACTGACAATTATTATGCACACTGCATATTTTATACCCTTTTTCACGGCGCATTATGATGGTTTTTGAGCGGGTTTTTTTTTTTGGCATTGATGTCAGAACTCTCTAAGTACCATTTATTAAAATAAGTATTGAACACACAATTTTGTGAACAAAATATGCTGGGTTGGGGCCCCCCCCCCCCCCCCCCCCCCTAATCTGAAAGTGCTGCCTTTTTCAGATGTCTAATTTTCGTGAAATTTCATGTTGAAATTTTGATACGCAAACGTGTGCAACGGATCTGGAAATTTCACAAATATAGACATCTGAAAAAGGCAGCACTTTCTGATTAGCCTATAAAGAGGGTGAGTATGCTTCTAAAGCAAAAATAAACTACAAGCTAAGCCTAAATGTGAAAATCAAAATTTGACAAAGTTCGACATGTTTTTGTACATGGTGGAAGTGTGGCCTTTATTTACGGAGGTAGGTCCAGTAAATTGGCCACATCCCAGTCTTGGGTCAAGAATGTAACCTTGGACTTACACCCATGTGTAGAATACAAAACGATATGCCATCCACATAAAGAGCATGAGTATACATTGTGTACTACTTTTCCGATCATGATTATGCATTGCTAAATTAAAATGAAACAACTATCAAAGATGACTGCTGATTGTGATTTTTCCAAATCTCCAAATTGAAGATAATACGACGGAGGTCAGACAGGGAAGAGGGACTGTTCATAGCACATACCGGTACATGTACTGGCCAGTGGAATCACAGACACATCCAGGGCATTGTCTTTCCTCACATTTCACGTCGGCGACGTCACCATTTCTACATTGCATACTTTTGAATTAAAACCCTTTTCCTTCTTTTCTCAGGTGTTATATGATGGTGATTGTCCACTCTGCATGCAAGAGATCAAATTTGTGCAGTACATGAACAAGAAGAAAGATACTCTGGAGCTTGTTAACATTGCGTCACCAGATTACAATCCAGAAGAGAACAATAGAATCTCCTATGAGACAGCTATGGGTGTAATGCATGTCATTGGACCAAATCAGCAGGTAAATTGCTGGGATATGTATGCACACGATAAGTACAAGGCGATAAAACAAGAAGTGAATCAAACAACGAATAACGAATAACAAGTTTCCAAAAAAAATGTGAAATGTACAACTGTATACAGATGGTAGCCTCCATGAGACAAGGTCAGATACTCAGGTCTTGAGATTGTTTAGGATACAGAAATTATTTTAATGCTTAATTGGACATGGTATTTGATCACCATCAAATACCACATTATTATTATTTTTTCCCCAAATCCAAAGGACATTTGATACTGTTTAATCATGTTCACCACATTTTCTTCAAACCCGTAGATTTTTGTAATGCATGACAGTAACTTCACAAAATTGTCATCAGACAGGGAGCCCTTGTGTTAAGCTCTAGTCTTGTATAAACTTGGCTGATAATTTGCAATGTACATGTACCATTGGAACTATGATGTCTTTCATATTTGCCGTGCCATCCACTCTGTGACCCTCTACTTTCATGTTTATGGTTTATCAATTTGTTCTGAATAAATTCTCAACATTCAGAGCAGCTCACTATTCCTAACAAAAACGATTGTATAAACATGCATTTAAAAAAGCAGCCATTGTGTGTTTAATTAAATAGTAATTGTTCTTTTTTTGGGGGGGGGGGAGGGGATTAGGTTTATTTTTTTTTCAATTATATATTATACATGTACATGTACCTCTGTTCCCCCTTAGGTGATATTTTTAGGGGTACCTAGGGACTTCAAAAGATCCCATTGCTAATTCACTGAGTGTGAAGTGTCCTCTTTCTGCAGAGTTGGAAACAATTTCTGTGCATTTGCTATGATTTGTTTCCATTTCATTACTTCATTTGTGCCTGAATGTTTATTTATTGCAGGTGTATACCAAAGTTGATGCTGTGTATGAGATGTATTCTGCCCTTGGATTGAGGTGGATAGTTGCCTACATGAGATGGCCATTACTCTCTACATTCTTTGAATGGGCCTACATGGTGTTTGCAAGACGCCGCCTCCAGTGGACTAGAAGCTGGCGAGGATGTGAGACTGCAAAGTGTCAAATAGAAAACCAACCGCCATCGAATAAGGAGAAGTCTTGACTGACTCAATGGATATTTTTATTCAAATATTGCTGTGATGTTCATGGTTTGCTATTAACATTGGCTTCTACCTCTAGAATCAATTTCTACATTGAGAACATTCACTTATATTGAAAGGTAATTTCACACCTTTTATCCATAACTACAGAGGTACAATGTATTTCTATCACTGTTTGAATTCCTCATATTTGTAATTGGAATTGTCAGCATTAATTGTTTGGCACATACGACCAGTGCATTAAAATAAACACTTGTTAACGTAGGCTATCATCTTGTGGCTGATTGTTTGTATAGTAAATACAATGTCACAGTCAATGTGATGCAGATAGGATTTAATTGACTCCATTTGGTCTTTAGTTCCATGTGTTCACGAGCAATTGAATTCCATTGTATCAGCTTGCATTTGGAACAATCTTTCTGAAGTCATTTTTTTTTTTCAATTTAAGCTTGGATCTGATCCGAGCACATTCTTTTGCATGCCTTTTCACTCACGGTGAGAATGAGACCTGCTTAATTTCCATATTAATTTAGTATCATGCATTTTAGTCATTTGGAGGTCATATTATTTACATGTATTTAGTAAATTGATTTGTTGATACCAACTATACACTGTGTATCATTGATACTGTCCAACACAATTGATTAGGCCAAAAAAAGTTTTGCTTCCGGTTTCCCTACCTACCCTTTTCTGACAGCCCTTACCCTAATATTTTTTAAGGGGAAAATGAGCAAAAAAAACAGCTAAAACCATGAATTTCTACCATTTACTCTGGACTACACACAGACGCCTCGATATGATCGTGCACAACAAAAATTGGCAAAATAGAACATTCCCTACCTACCTACCCTATTTTCAAATGCCATGTAATCGGAAGCAGAATTTGTTTTGGCTTTAGTAAATTCTGATATTAAAATAATGATTTGTACATTTAGTTTTTTTCTATATATTTTTTATTTCAATATGCAACAAGATCATACAAACACAACAGACTTGAGTATAAAACAAATAGTAAACCAAGACATCAGCAATTTTCGAGAAAACTCAAAAACAAATGACAAACAAACAAGACAACCAAAAGACAATGAACTAGACAATACCAACTGAATACCTAAACATTACAAAAACAGATATTGATGGGGAAGGAAAAAAGGATCTTATTGGAAAAAGATTTACCCATTTGTTATGTACATGTATTTCAACAAGTGACCAATTTCTTGTAGCAATGGCCTTCTCTGTTTTGAAATCGATAGAAACACTGCAATTATCGACACAAGAGGTAAATCTTAACACTTATTATTAAAGATAATTTGTTCGCCAAAACAATAATAAGGGAGATAAGACCAAGGTCTTAGACATTCTTTTTCTGGTAAGAAGCCAAACCAAACGTCTCTACAACTTAAAACCACTGGATGATGAGATGTACATGTAGGATTAAGCCAAGTAATAATACCCTTCAAGAACAGCTAGATTTTTTTCACAGTTCCGGAAGACATGTAGCAGATTCTCACGCTCTAAGAAATAAATGTCGGAGTCCTTCTTTAATTTTGCAAAGACAAAGAAAGGTGTTTGTCGGAATGAGAAAGTAAAATAAATTTAAATTGAAAATATTGCAGCTTTTTAATCTTTGGTCGTCGTCTTCGGTCAATCCTCGATTCGAGGAGTTGTCACTTTAATATGCTGCTGTCTCTCTCGCTGTTGATGACTGAATATAGAGTCCCAGCTGTGACCGTATTGGTCGTCCGCAGATGGAGCGGGAGAACTGCGGGGTTGAGTGAGGCTGAGACGCCCGTTTTTTCCTTCAGCGTCTTTTCTCGTCGTCCTGCGTGAGGTCTCGAAAAGCTGAACTCCACGTGTGATGGTGGAGCGCCAGGTGGAGCAGTTAGCTGCTTTGTCCTTCCAGGTGTCGTAGGAATTCCACAGCGGCACAGGTTCAGTTTGAGGAGGTCCATCAAACGTTTCTTGGGTCTTCCACGTGCTTGCCAGAGCTGAGTTCACCCGAAGAAAAGTTGTTTCGGTAGAGCGGTGTCCTCCAACCTTCTCACGTGTCCGAACCATTGTCACTAACGTCTCACAATCATAACTCATCTCAACACGTTGGAGAACATCAGAGTTACGGCCCAGGTACGTGACGCCGGTACATGTACAAAGCCCACGACTCGCAACTATAGAGCAGTGTGAAGAGCATAACAGCTCGATACACCTGGAGTTTGGTACAGGTCGTCAAGGAGTGGATATTAAATAGGCGACGATGTAGTCGCCCATATCAGGAATGTGCCAGCCGAATACGATTGTTGATGTCATCATGGATGTTTGGCTTTTCATTTAGAAGGCTTCCAAGGTATAACATTTGGAAACTTGCTCCACAGGCTCTCCATGAATAGTGATCTGAGGAGAGGAAGCAGGTTGAAGCGGGCAGTCTTGTGCAAGGAAGATCGAAAACAGGGTTGGTGCAAGAACGCACCCGTGCTTAACTCCAGTCTCAATTTGGAAGGGTGGAGAAATGCATATTATGACTCTGGGAGAATTGTTTCACTGAGCTCTTGGAGTCGGGCCAGCAGGATGCGAGAGAATATTTTCCCAGCAGTGGAAAGGAGGGCAATTCCTCGGTAATTTCCACAGACAGTTCGATCATCCTTCTTGAATATTGTCACAAGGTTGGCATTTAGAAGATTCTTTGGAGCAGTCTGTGTCTCGATCTCCCAGATGAGGAGAATCAGGATGTGGAGACGGATGCGGAGTGCAGTTCCTTCATGCTGGAAGAATTCGGCAGGAATGTTGTCCGGACCAGGCGCTTTGTTTGGTTTCATTTTGGAAACTGCAGTTTCGACCTCATGCAGAGTTGGTGGCACAGACATCCACGTCCTGTTAGGATGAGCCGGAAGATCATGAATGAAGTCCTTTACAGCGGAGGATGGCCAGTTCAGGAGAGTATTGAAATGTTCCTACCAACGTCGAAGGGTATCTGTTTCATCGGTGAGAATGGTGGAGCCATCAAGCGATTGTAGATGTGAAAGGGCATCCGGGCCGTAGACAGCACGGATGGCTTGGTAGAAATGTTTCATCTCGTTGTGGTCGGCGTGTCCTTGGATTTCAGCAGATTTTAATATCCACCAGTTGTTCTTCAGTTCAAGAATCCTTCTTTGGGCGAGAGCTTTCTTGTTTCGGAAGAGGGCCTTCTCGGATGCGGATATTGGGTCGTTCTTCCACGCCAAACGTGCAAGTCTCTTTTCGTTGATTAGGACGCGGATTTCAGGGTCGTTCTCGTCAAACCAATCGGTGACTGCTCTATATTCCGAGACCCCTATGTTCCGACACCCCTATGTTCCGACAACCCGCACATAAGATCGTGTTACTCCCGGTTAGGGTTAGGGTTAGGGATAGGAATACGTGCAGTCGGAACATCAGGGTGTCGGAACACAGGGGTGTCGGAACATAGGGATGTAACCAAACCAATTCTGGTGACGACGCGATGGCTGGTGACAAACCCGATCTTGTCTTTATTGTCAGAACAATCGCTTCTTTCAAAACTGACAACATCCCTTCAACGTCAGATATCTCCGAGGGAGGAGAATAAAGATTTTGTTACATTTTCGAAGTGTTGCTACCAAAACAGCATTTCAAATGTTGCAAAAGGTTATTCCAGCTCTTAGTAATGGTAAAGTTAACCAACTTCAAGATGTGACTTTTAACATTTTAAAAGTGTTGTGAACTTTCCCGCATAGACGCATGCGCAATGTATTAGGTGACTGGGCAATTTGATTGGATACTGAGTTCAGCGCGCCGCGCGCGCACACTAGATCATTTTCCGTCCGAGCTCCAATATGGCGTTTCGTTCTTCATAATCTTTCGTCCTACATCGACCAACATCGCCGACCCTCATGATTTAACCAGTTGAGTACAGGTGAGATTTTTTATACTGAGATATTATCGTAGGAACACTGCACATTTTGATGTTAATACTACTTTTATATATTGACGGAGAATTTGAGACCTTAGTCCTAACAGATGGGTGTCGCTATACATTGTACGTATACGTACATACATTTGATTTGCGTGATGTATCGATACATGTTGAAGTACGTATCTTACAATCGACAGAAGCATGACCAATCTTTAATCAAGAAAAAATCCATACTGGATCACAACTTAACATGCCGCCAAACACATCAATGTTCACCTCACCTTGTAATTTCACCCAAGAGGAATCCAGGAAGCTGTGTAAATGCGAAAAAAAAATAGGCAAAAATGTGTTTTTAGAGCACATTTTGGATGCACACATCGTGCAGAACTAAGCTCAAGCAGCCGGTCAAAACTGATTGAAGTGTCTGGAAGACAGCGATACGTTATACGCATGACATCGACAACCATGACAACGCATGAGCCGGCCAATGATAGTGCAATACGTCATTATGAATATTTATTTTCTCATGAATATTTAGTTTATTTCAATGGATACTTTAACTACGTCCGAAGATTGATTATTGCAACAGCGATCGTGTGCGGCCTAGCGGTTAAAGGAAATATACAACATTTGCAAACATCGAAAAATAAAACTACCAAGTTTTTACGAAATACCTTAATAGGATGTTGGTAAATGACAGTCTAAAGCATCCTGTAAAATTATGGCACCTGGTGTGAAGTCATTTTCAAGTAAATTGTATTTTTTTAATACATTTCCAACGGTGGTCGGCCGACCACCGTTGGAAAAACCTAACTATTTTTCAACTACTGCTCCAAGTTTACCTTTTTTTCAGTCCAAATTTTGTTTGCTACTGGTTACATGTTCATGAACGGGTGCAGGCCAGCTAGACTGGTTCCCTTACCTTACAATTTTCTGGCTACTATAAAATGATCCATTTTATCTTTAGTGGAGTTAGGGAACCAGACTACTTGAACATTCTTGTTTTTCTTGGTTTTTCCAGCATTTCCGAACACAAAACTTCAAACATGTCAGTGTAACAATATTTCGAAAAAGTGACTGATTAATAAATAGGAATAAAGGAAAGGAGAGCGTGAGAGTAGTGACAGTAGGGGAGGGAATAACCATAAAGGTTGCAACTTTTGGCGCTTGAAAATTAATTGAAAAAAAGTGGTGATCCAGTATGGAATTTTTTCCCTTTAATCTTTACAATCTCAGTATTGTGTACATGTATTTCCATTTAAGGGTCATGTATCGATACATCACGTAAATCAAATGCACGTAGAACGTACGTACATGTATAGCGACACTCATGGGCGTCGCCAGGATTTTTTTTCTAGGGGGGGGGACATATTTTGCCAATAAATATCATGTATTTCTCAACATATTCTCGATTTATCGGTTTTAGAGGGGGCAGGGACATTTTGCCTCCCAACCCATTAAATTTGCACCACTATGACTTCGCTCCTCTCCCCCCCCCCTCCGTTCCATGGGGGTGGGGGTGGGGGGGGGGGTGGGGGGGGGGGGGGGGCAAGTGCCCCCCTTGCCCCCCCCCCCTCGCGACGCCCATGGCGACACTTATCCGTTAGGTGTACGGTCTTAAACTGTCCGTCAATTTCGTACGATATAAAAGCAGTATGGACATAAAAATATACAGTGTTCCTACGATAATATCTCACTCTCAGTATAAAAATCTCACCTTTACTCAACTGTTATATCGGGATGGACGGCGATGTTGGTCGATGTGGGAAAAAAGTTATGGAGAATGCAACGCCATATTGGAGCCCTTACTATCAATGACATTTTCTGTTTTTATTGTTTTTTGCGTGTATTTGAAGGATAATTTTTTAACATTACAATAGCTCAAAGTAACACCTTTAAAGGGTAACAAATAGTTGTTTCAACAATTTCAAAGGGTTGGATATCAATACTTTCTTAACACTGGGCAATGGCTAAAGGGGTAACCGAATAGTTGTTTTAACATTTTAAAAGTGTCAGATCCAACACTTTTC